ACAACAGCCTACAACAATGTACAACAATCAAGTTACATTTGTCACTGAGGGAAACAACAGCCTACAACATTGTACAACGATCAAGTTACACCTCTCACTGCCTACAACACTGTACGATAATCAAGTTACACCTCTCACTGCCTACAACACTGTACGATAGTCAAGTTGCAAACCTGAGTGAGGGAATCAAAACTGGATTTGAAGTTTGCATTGAAAGTGTGTTTGTCTTGTGAAGTTCATACATGGCATATACGTATAAATGTATATACTGAGAAGAAATTATGCATAGATATTTCATAACATACAGGTCTAATATTCTTTGTGCAACAAAAGGTACTTACATAAGTACGTATATGGAGCTGCCTCCTCCTTGATTCTGGATCCTTCCTCAGAAACTTGTTCACAATGTCATTAAATTCCATCAAACGTCCATCTTTTCTCAAGTCATCCTGGAAAGAATAAGTATATACCGAGATGTATTGACTGAAAAATGAAACATTAAAATAGACAACAATTTGGTTTCAAAAGACTTTTTACATTAAAAATAGCTATTCCTTTTGATGTGGACCGAGCCATATTTCTGATAAGATCTATTCCCCCAAATTTTTCTTTAGAGAAGAGATTTGTTTTTTATACAATATTTTTCAAATTAAAAGTGACATAATATGAAAAACAAAAGTTGAACCCATACCACAGTATGAGTTCCAGTGGACAAGCAGTACTGTAGGAAATAGTGCCCGAACAAACCTTTTCTTTGATGTAGGTCGAAGGTCAAAATGTAGGTCAGAATAACCTACTTTGATATGCAACATATTGCCTCACCAAGGTGAACCCACACTGTAAGTATGAAGTATAGTGACACATAGAAACAGAAGGAAGGACACACAATAACGAACTCTCAGCACCCCCTCCCTCCTCCCCCAAATAGTCGATGACTGAAAAAAATCCTGGATATAGCAGCCTTCTTATTAAGTAAGTGATGATGGGTAGGTGAGCAGTTTACATACCTTGGGTTTACACATCATGGTGTAAAATTTACCATCACTACCAATCAGTGAAATCTTCTTTGGTCTCTGTAGAGAAGGCAGGATCTCAACCTAGGAAATAAAACACTGAGTTATAAAGGCTATCTGGAATCAAATTTACTGCTACATATCAAATGTCAAACACCAATTTTTACATCCTAGCCCTAACTATAAGTCAAGAGTTGTGTTGCTATTGCCTTCTAGTGTTCAATGTATCATTTATCGTTATTTGCTAAATGCAAACAGTAACCAAACTGTCGTTTTTTTTACTGCAAAAAAAAAGTACCTAGAATTCAATGACAACTTACAACATCATTAATGCCACTGATGTACACTTCTTTGGCAGGGAATGGGTCATGTGTGGCGTGTGATCCAGGAGTACTGGGCAACATCACTGTCATGTTGGACTGGAGAGGTAGTATTATACTGCTGAAGTTACTGTTAATATACCATAACAACAACAGTTATAGACATTTATATCTGTACTTATAGCACAAACAAATTCTTTAATTCATAGCAGATATGTTGATGTAATTCTTACCATATTCTCCTTCTTTTTCAAAGGTTTTTTAAGCTTTTCTCATTTATCACCCAATATATGAGAAGTAAAAATATCACTTTCATCCTGTTGATGATGTAAAGAGTAACTGTTTGTTCTGTGGATGATGTAAACATTGCCTGTCATCCTGTGGAACATTAACTGTTTGATAACGTAAGTATCAGCTTTTATCTAGTATGTAACATCAATATTAACATCACCTCAACAATGACCATGTGACCGTACCTGTCATCCTGTGGAACATTAACTGTTTGACAACGTAATTATCAGCTGTTATCTAGTATGTAATATCAATATCAACATCACCTCAACAATGACCATGTGACCGTACCTGTCATCCTGTGGAACATTAACTGTTTGACAACGTAAGTATCAGCTGTTATCTAGTATGTAACATCAATATTAACATCACCTCAACAATGACCATGTGACCGTACCTGTCATCCTGTGGAACATTAACTGTTTGACAACGTAAGTATCAGCTGTTATCTAGTATGTAATATCAATATCAACATCACCTCGACAATGACCATGCGACCGTACCTGTCATCCAGCAGACGTTTGAGTGGTTTAAAGTGCTGCGATACACTCATGTTGTTTGAGCCAGTATATTCTTTATTACACAGCTCCAATAAACGATCTGTAAGCTTGGTGGAGTCCTAAAGACAAGAATAGATTTCTGATCCTCAAGTTTCAGAACAGAACACAAGTGAATCAGAATACATTCACCGTAAGAACTTTACACTACAAAGTGTACAATTGAAACATTACAAACTACAAGTACCAAAACAACAAAATAAATGATGGCTTCAAACTCGGTAATATCATTTATCACTGTAATAGTTAAATTAAACACTCTTGTAATATCATTTATCACAGCAATAGTTAAATGAAACACTTTGTAATATCATTTATCACAGCAATAGTTAAATGAAACACTCTTGTAATATCATTTATTACAGCAATAGTTAAATGAAACACTCTTGTAATATCATTTATCACAGCAATAGTTAAATGAAACACTCTTGTAATATCATTTATCACAGCAATAGTTAAATGAAACACTCTTGTAATATCATTTATCACTGGAATAGTTAAATGAAACACTCTTGTAATATCATTTATCACAGCAATAGTTAAATGAAACACTTTGTAATATCATTTATCACAGCAATAGTTAAATGAAACACTCTTGTAATATCATTTATCACAGCAATAGTTAAATGAAACACTCTTGTAATATCATTTATCACTGTAATAGTTAAATGAAACACTCTTGTAATATCATTTATCACAGCAATAGTTAAATGAAACACTTTGTAATATCATTTATCACAGCAATAGTTAAATGAAACACTCTTGTAATATCATTTATCACAGCAATAGTTAAATGAAACACTCTTGTAATATCATTTATCACTGTAATAGTTAAATGAAACACTATTGTAATAACATTTATCACTGGAATAGTTAAATGAAACACTCTTGTAATATCATTTATCACAGCAATAGTTAAATGAAACACTCTTGTAATATCATTTATCACTGGAATAGTTAAATGAAACACTCTTAATATTGAAATGTTTACCTTTACAAATTTCTGCAATCCTGGATTTATTTGCCTGGAAAGTGATGAGTATAAGTATCAAATTTATGACCAAAAAAATATCTGACATGAACTCACTTTCCTATGAGAATATAAACAAGTGGCCCAAGGGGCCTTAACGGTCACCTGAGGAATATATGTCAATAATCTGGGGATTTTAAAATGTTGCAAAAATGTAACAACACTTGTGCAGGACCATGTGTAAAACGTCTGTACCAAGTTTGAACTTGACCCACCCAATGGTTCTTGAGAGGAAGTCCATAATGTCTCAGCCAAACAGAGGCCAGGGTGGCCATCTTGGATTTTGAATCGCCCCAAAAAGTTAAAACACTTGCCAGGACCTTGTGTAGAACATTCGTATCAAGTTTCCCCTTTTTCCCCCTCCTGTGGCCCCTATTGGGACCATGCCCTTTTCTTCGCAAACTTGAAGCGGCTTCCCATGGGGATGCTTTGTGCCAAGTTTGGTCAAAATCCATCTACTGGTTCTTAAGAAGTAGTCATTTAATGAAGGTTTTTACATATGGCCCCTTTTACAACCCTTATGGGCCCCAAAGAGGACATGATAACTTTTTTCAACATAATTTCATATGTTCTTCTCTAAGGGATGCTTTCTACCAAATTTGGTTGAAATCGGTCAAAGTTGAATTTTTGACCCTTTTGAGCGCCCCCTTGTGCGGCCGTTTTTGACCCGATTTTTTTTTTCATTCGCAAACTTTGTAGGCCATGCCATAAGGACCCTAAATATCAAATATGAACTTAATCTGACTGTTGGTTCATGAGAAGAAGATTTTTAAATGTTTACCTTATCCTAATTTTATCCCCTTTTCCCCCATCCTGCGGCCCCTATTGAGGCCACACCATTTTTCTTTGCAAACTTGAAGTGGCTTTTCATGGGGATGCTTTGTGCCAAGTTTGGTCAATATCCATCCAATGGTTCTTGAGAAGAAGTCATTTAAAGACGGTTTTTAAATATGGCCCCTTTTACACCCCTTAAGGGCCCAAAGGGGACATGATCACTTTTTTCAACATAATTTCATATGTTCTTCACTAAGGGATGCTGTCTACCAAATTTGGTTGAAATCGGTCAAAGTTGAATTTTTTACCCTTTTAAGCACCCCCTAGTGGGGCCGTTTTTCACCCAATTTTTTTTTCATTCGCAAACTTTGTAGACCTTGCCATAAGGACCCAAAATATCAAACTTAATCTAACTGCTGGTTCATGAGAAGATGATTTTTAAAGATTTACCTAATTTTACACCCTTTTTCCCCCTCCTGGGGCCCCTACTAGGGCCATGCCCTTTTTCTTCGCAAACGTGAAGCGGCTTTCCATGGGGATGCTTTGTGCCAAGTTTGGTCAATATCTATTCAGTGGTTCTTGAGAAGAAGTCGAATATTTGAAAAGTTAACGACGCACGACGACAGACAAATCATGCTGGCAAAAGGTCACCATGAGCCTTTGGCTCAGGTGACCTAAAAATCTGCAATGAGAATTTCTCTTCCTAATTTAACGTATGGACATCACCTAAAAGACACAATGACTTTCAATAACTTATGACCATATGAAATAAAAATTCATTTGAACCTATTCAGCATGTTCCATATTAGCCAAATCAAATTTTCCCCCTGAAATGTGTCAATTGAATGTGTTTTTCATTTGTGATGCTGTAAAACAATTAAACTGAGATGCCAAGGAATCTGTCACATATTTCAAATTTGTTACAAACAATGTAGCCTTATTTATTACTACATGGTTTTGTTCGCCTCAGTCACAGTGACTGTGTGGTTGACAGATTTAAAAGCAAAAAAAAAAAAAGCAATTATTTCTAATTTGGTGTCATTATTGAATTTCATATAAAGAATAAAACCAAACTTGATCAGGTAATTGATAACTATGAAAATCACACCAACTGTTTTTAAAGTTATTAAGCTGACAGAATTAAAGGTGACGAAATCCAAGGTAAGTCAATACCAGATTTCAGAGGCAGCTTATCACCATACCCTTTCAGAATTTTCAAAACTAAGAAATTGACCAGCAACCATTCTTTTTTTATTTTTATATTTTTTAAGTGCCTGAGGAAACACTTCACATTAAATTGCTCCAATTTACAATTTTGTTTCTTAAATTTGAGAAATATGTAATTTTTGCGATACGTCTTCATTTCAATTGGATTAAACAAATTGGATTTGAAAATCTACTTACTCTGCTCTTGCAAATATGTCTTTGCATCGACTTACTCTGACTTTATAGGATGACTGAAATAACACAATAGGACATTAATTAACAACATGTTGATAGCTAAGGTCAGTATTGTTTTAACTTTTTCAGGAATCAAAATCAACCATATTTTCCCAAATCATACTATAACATAATTCCTGACATAAACTAGAAATTATCGCCCGATTATAAGTCAGGAAAACGTGAACAGTTCATTACAACAAATTGACCAGTTCAAAGATAAATGACTTGACTCTGATATCTAACCTACAGTCTTGACTAAGGTCATCTGCTTTCTCATTAAATTTCAATGAACTTTGAACAATGAATTATTAATTAGTTATCAGAGAATACCGCCTTGACATTGACCTTTAATCACACCACTTATTCTTTCATTCTGATCAATAATAAGAATAATAACACTTATTTGACTTTTGACCATGAGGTGTAGGTCACTGTTACTATCATTTCAAAACATCTAACAAGCTTTTCAAATATTTTGTATGGAATTTGTATAGAAAAGTATTTAAGGCAAACAAACAAATCCTGTGTGGAATAGTTCGAAACCAACAAGGGAGGCATACCCATCTTTTTGGACAAATATGGATAACAAGAGGCCCAATGAGCCTGAATCACTCATCTGGTATTCTTTGTTCATCCCAGACATCTACCTGCCAAATATTATGCTTCTTAGACTTTTGGCTAATCAGAGGCAGTTGTTTTAGGGTTTTGATGAATTTGACCCCTTGACCTTCATCACAAGTCAAGATTATTTCTCTTTATTTCTGTTTGAAAAAGTTGTTAGGATTCTATTAGTGAACTGTCAGCCACATATAATCCTTTTAGGCCTTTTGCTTAATCAGAGGCAGTTGGTTTCAGGTTTTGACAAATTTGACCTCTGTGACCTTGACTTTTGGTTAATCAGAAAAAGACATTTCACAGTTTTTACAAGAATTTATACTAAGAATCTATCAGCCAAACCTTATGCTTCTGGGTCTTTTGGTTTGTCAGAAGAAGCTGTTATACAGGTTTTAACAAAATTGACCAATGGACCTTGAGAAATGGTCCAGGTCATTTAGTTTCACAAAATTTGTCAGGTTTCATCTGAGGAACTTGTCAACCAAATATCATGTTTCTAGGTCTTTTGGTTGTTCAAAAGAAGTTGTTTAAATGTTTTAGCAAATTTGACCTCTGTGACCTTGAATATTATTCAAAGTCATTTCTTTTCCCAAACTTTGACAGGATTCATACTAGGAACCTGTAAGCCAAATTTGTTTCTGGGCTTTTTGGTTTATTAGAGGAAGTTGTTCTGAGTTTTTAACAAATTTGACCCCTTGAACTTGGATATGGATCAAGGTCATTTCTTTTCTTCAACTTTGTCAGGATTCATACTAGAAACCTGTCATTTTTTCTCTTGGTTATCAAGAAAAAGGGAAATGGAAAAGTTGCCACCAGACAGACAGATGAACGACACGCCACAACCAAAAGCGTACTTGGCCCTTCAAGCCAGTTGAGCTAAAAAACTGCATCTTTTTATTCTCAAATGAAATTTTCAGTCATATAACATAAAATATAACTACCAAAATACAAATATGTACATTCTTCCTTTCTGTTGAGACCGGTAGGTTTGTAAAGTATATTTGATGAATTAAGTACATAGGCTAACCTTTGACACTGCCATCAACATCCACATGCCTTGCTGAGGGAACTTAGCAAACAAGCAAGCAATTATCTCCTGAAAATACAACATTTCAATATAAAACACAGGGAATAAACTTGAATAGATTTAAATGCTTGAGATTTATTTGATTTTCTAGACAATTAAATTTCCTGAGTAAAGAAGTCTTTTTGCCTGTTTACTGAAACATCAGTAATTTTGAATGCAAAATTTCTTTTTTTCAATTAGGCGAGTTAATTTTAAAAGTTTTAAAAACATGTGCTTTAGTGAATGTTTGGAAACAAAAGAAAATACTTATACAAGTTTGTGTTTTTTCTACAACAATAAAAGAACTACTCCAATGGTGAATTGTGTAACCAAGCATGCTTTGTTTGATATCAGATGACTGATACCTTGGGACTGGAATAACACAAACCCATCATTGAAGAATACTTTATTTCTCTTTGAATACCACCCTACTTAACAAATATTTGATGACATCTCCAGTAGGTAGTTGGTGTCTTGGTTGGTATTTTAATACATTACCCTGAGCTGTTGAAAGACATCTGGCTGGGTGTGACAGATCCTGGAAATAAGCTGTGAAAAGGCTGTGAACAACTGATAGGAGGCTAACTGTTGTCCGAGGGCTGACACCAGCTGTGAAACAAACCAACCAATTTGTTCATAGCTTGAAACCAACAGTATCAAAATCTATTTATCTATTCTTTAACATTGCCAATGCTTTTCCGATTTGAGAATTTCTAGTCTCAACCTCGCGATGAGATGGGACAATCCATCTTTCATAATTATGACATGTCATCAACACATCAAATATTCAACTAATCAAAAGATTTATGAAGTCATAAGCTCAACATCAACTGTAAAATCAACAGATTTATTTCATCCCAGACAGGTTAAACCTAATAAACACAGAGTTACAAAGTAAAATAAATTTTTTGTGAAAGTAGGAGGTAGGGGGCCCTTTACCTGTTGAAACAATTTCGAACAGGAAATATCCGAGCCAAATTTTCACTAGGACAACCAAGAACATGCTTACCTTATTGAGCTTGGCTAAAGTGGTCCTCATGATCTGTAGTTTGTGAGCAAGCTGCTGGTTTCGAGACACATCCCTTTTCTCCATCTCAGCTACACTTGTGCCAAAATCGAGCCACAGACTTAGGAGGCGTGGCAGGGACTGATAGATATACTGATTACCATACTGAAGGGACTGACCAAAGGATTTGACAACATGGTGAATAAACTCCCTACAACAAACATAAAGTGAGACACTGTAGTGGATAATCTGTACAACAAGGAAGTAAGTGGTGACTGTGATGGGTAAACTATACAACAAGGAAGTAAGTGGTGACTGTGGTGGGTAAACTATACAACAAGGAAGTAAGTACTGACTGTGGTGGGTAAACTACACAACAAGGAAGTAAGTGGTGACTGTGGTGGGTAAACTACACAACAAGGAAGTAAGTGGTGACTGTGGTGGGTAAACTATACAACAAGGAAGTAAGTGGTGACTGTGGTGGGTAAACTATACAACAAGGAAGTAAGTGGTGACTGTGGTGGGTGAACTACACAACAAGGAAGTAAGTGGTGACTGAGGTGGGTAAACTACACAACAAGGAAGTAAGTGGTGACTGTGGTGGGTGAACTACACAACAAGGAAGTAAGTGGTGACTGTGGTGGGTAAACTACACAACAAGGAAGTAAGTGGTGACTGATGTGGGTAAACTTTACAACAAGGAAGTAAGTGGTGACTGTGGTGGGTAAACTACACAACAAGGAAGTAAGTGGTGACTGTGGTGGGTAAACTATACAACAAGGAAGTAAGTGGTGACTGTGGTGGGTAAACTACACAACAAGGAAGTAAGTACTGACTGTGGTGGGTAAACTATACAACAAGGAAGTAAGTGGTGACTGTGATGGGTAAACTATACAACAAGGAAGTAAGTGCTGACTGTGGTGGATAATCTGTACAACAAGGAAGTAAGTGCTGACTGTGGTGGGTAAACTATACAACAAGGAAGTAAGTGGTGACTGTGGTGGGTAAACTATACAACAAGGAAGTAAGTGGTGACTGTGGTGGGTAAACTATACAACAAGGAAGTAAGTGCTGACTGTGGTGGATAATCTGTACAACAAGGAAGTAAGTGCTGACTGTGGTGGGTAAACTATACAACAAGGAAGTAAGTGGTGACTGTGATGGGTAAATTATACAACAAGGAAGTAAGTGCTGACTGTGGTGGATAATCTGTACAACAAGGAAGTAAGTGGTGACTGTGGTGGATAATCTGTACAACAAGGAAGTAAGTGGTGACTGTGATGGGTAAATTATACAACAAGGAAGTAAGTGCTGACTGTGGTGGATAATCTGTACAACAAGGAAGTAAGTGGTGACTGTGGTGGGTAAACTATACAACAAGGAAGTAAGTGGTGACTGTGATGGATAAATTATACAACAAGGAAGTAAGTGGTGACTGTGGTGGGTAAACAAAGAAGTTACTTTCGATGGTGGTCGGACAAGTAGTGACTGACATATTAATGTTAAAGCATGACCTGAATGTCTGGTGTGATGTTATCATTGTTGACCTGAATGTTTGATGGGTGACCTGACTGTTGTAAGTGTGACCTCACTATCAGAACTGTGATCTAATTGTCAGAGGTATAACATCACATGCATGACTCCATTTATAGAATATGACCTGACAGTGAAGGAGGTGGCACATCAATGTGTGATCAGACTGTGTGATATTACCGTTGGCGAGAAGGATCAGGTTTGTCCTTGTCCTCAAGCAAAGTAGTCATGATCTTGTCGTAATACTTTGCTAAGTGGAAGTGCCCATCCTCCCAGTCTGGGTAGACATCAGTTACCTCTTTGTACTGCTTTAAGATCACATTACTTTCCATTTTAGATGTCTCTTCACTGTAACATCCGTACAACAGTAATGCCTGAAGGTCAAAGGTTAAACGAATTTACACAATCTGCTGTTTCATCTTTAAAAATCTAGCCTAATGGTGAATCTTCAATAGTGGTGTCACAATACACCAAAAGTGTATTATCATATATTGCTTAAGGGGAAAACTACAGATCATTCTTGGAAAATGTTTCTTAACTTAACAAAAAAAATAATTGTCTCATGACTCAAACATAATCCTTAGTCATATGAAAAATAAAGACTTAGGATTTTCATTGAACAAATATTGAAAACATTGAAGATCATGAAAATGCTATCCAAGTATTTATAATACAAATCTTAAACACATTTATCTTGTTACAAAACAAAACCTTAAAAGTGCTAAGCACTTGGCTCTAATTTACTCTATATAAAGATGGATAATTACAACCAACAAGGATGTTACAGCGGTTTAAAATCATTACTTTGTAGAAACTTGAAAGCCACTTAACCCAGAATACTGATGCCAAAATGCCACATGGTTCCATAAAAGTGGTAATTCAAGATGAAATGTAATGAAAAGCGTCCAAGTTCCAAACAAATGATTACCTTGGCATATGTCTTGCGTTTGTTGTCAGTCTGAGCTGAACCGTCCAGTTTTAATTTGGAAACATCCTCGAAGTGGATAGACATTCCTCGTTCCAGACATGATATGGCTTGGTCTTTTTCTCCCTTGAAAACATCCACGAATAATTGTACAAAAAAAGTGTTAAGAGGAGAGGGGCATATCAAGTATCTACCTATGATAGGCAAGCATAACTCAACTCAATAGTCACCCAGTCAAATTTACAAACAACTACCTCTCTCTCTATATCAACTTCATACCTTTCCCCATCAACCACTCTGTCCTCTCTAGGAACACATCAGCTAAACCTACCTATCTATAACTTTACCTCTACCTCTCCCTCTATATCAACTTAATACCTCTCCCCATCAAACACTCTGTCCTCTCTAGGAACACATCAGCTAAACCTACCTATCTATAACTTTACCTCTACCTCTCCCTCTATATCAACTTCATACCTCTCCCCATCAAACACTCTGTCCTCTCTAGGAACACATCAGCTAACATCTACCTATATATCAACTTCATACCTCTCCCCATCAACCACTCTGTCCTCTCTAGGAACACATCAGCTATGTCTAGCTCAGTTAAATCACTGTATTGTTTTTAACAAAAATCTTTCAAATGAACCCTTTATCATTTTTTTGTGCATTTAATTTTTTTGGTGATTCCATTGTCTTAGAAATTTGGAGTGCCTTTTTCGAAGACTTTGAATACTTCAGAAGGAACATAATAGCTTAGATATATAAACCAGTCTGGATTCTAACTCAAAAGGAGATCTAAATGACCACTCATGCTTCATAAGAGATTTATATACTGACCAGTATTTTTTTATTATAGAAGTAATCATGATTAGAAAGTGTTCAGGTATATGAAGGTACATCAGCTATATAGATGTATTACTTACATAATTAGAATAAAAAATACCAAGGATCCACAAAGGGATTATCCCCCACATCTAGCTGTTGATGTAAAAACCCAAATATAATATACATTAAGCCTGGTAGAACAATTTGTGACATCACTCAATTATGTACCGCTACTATCACCTGAAGATCTAATACAGTGAAAGTGCTAGTGCAAAATGAACATCCTCTTCTGTCAATAATCTATTAAATTTCCTTGCATCTCCTCAACTGCAACATATATATATATACTGTTGATATCTGAATAGAGCTTGGTATTGACCATGAACAAACTTATGTAACACTGTAAGCTCTGGAGTAATACTAGAAGTCACAAGAAATCGAAAGATTAATGATAACAGGAAAAAAGATAAATAATGAAATGTCCCAAATAAGAAAAGGCACAGACAGGTTACTAACCTTATATATACAGAATTTTTTGTGTAGTTGAGTGGAAAGGTTTTCGAAGTTGTAGCCCAAAAAGGAAAGTTAACACTATCTTTGTGATTTTTGACTATGTTTCCTTGGTAACAGAAAAAATATGGAAAATGGAATGTCATCCATAGCAAAAGGCACAACTAGGGCACTAACTTAATATATACAGCAAGTTTTGTGAAGTTGAGTTGAATGATTTGAAGTTACAGCCCGGAAAAACCCACAGACGGACACATGCATGGACGAAACCCAAAATAATATCCCCTGCAAAAGTGCTATTCAAATTTTTTGTGATTTACAAAGAGTACTTAAATTCGTAAACAAGCTTGCGAAATTTCCTGATATGCATATATCAACTTGGAATCTCTCTTCTCTTCCAGTTATATCTACCTTGGTCCACAGCCACTCCGCCCTCTCCAGGAACACCTCAGGTAAGTTGTAATCACTGGCCTGCAGTAGGCAGCTGAATGCTGTTTGTAAGTGTCCCGCTCTACAAACGCAAAGTTAAACCTAATGGCAACAGATATCAGTAATTTATGGAGATGACCTTTAACTGACCTCTGGGCTATGTAGGTATATCATAGATATCAGTAATTTATGGAGATGACCTCTAACTGACCTCTGAGCAATGCGGGCACTCCAGAGCCACCAGTGACCAATGTCTTGGTCCACCTCTTGACCTGTGGTCTGCTGGGCCAGAGTGAACAGAATCCGCCGTAGGGTTAAAACTGGCTCCTGTGTCCGGAAAGAGCACTACAACAAAACAGCATACAAGATATTCAGACTGCAATTACTCTCTCAAAGTCTGAAATCTAAAAAAGAGGACAAGAGGGCCTGTATCAATCACCTGGATTTTGTGTTTTGTATTCTCAACCATAGCCATATCCAACGTTTTGTTTGTAGTAAAATGTTTTTTTGTTTGCATTCTCAGGAGTCAAACCAACTGTATATTCTAAGACTTTTTTATGTTTTTATTCATGATCGAAATCCATTAACTGATGTCGCATAAAAAACCTTCACTCAGATGGTAAAGTTGTGCTAATTTCTAAGACCTAAAGGTCCATCATTGTATCATATGTGTATTTTCAAACATTTTCTTCAGGTTGATAATATTAATAGAATAGAAGTTCTTGTAACAAAACCAGCAGAAGTGTAGTTTTCTCTTGATGCTGGTTAACTATCTGCATGGTTACAGGGTGGGATCTCAAATATTTCCATATTTTATAATATAAATTTATTTGTGAATCCATTGTGGTGCCATGGAAAGTTGTATTTATATAACAAAATTTCTTGATTAGGAACTGACCTGCATAACTTGAAGACGAGACTCCCACTGACGCAACAGGTCAACTGAGGTATGCTTGGTGGAACTTGAACCACTGTCCTCAGTGTGAAGGTCCATGAGAACACCTACGCTTTCCTCTATCTCACTCAGCATATGTAATCTGTTCAGTTACAGGATAATAACAAAATGTCATCTACTCTCTAGTAATGTTGATTATCCATTGAAGCCACAATTAAAATATGAATATGAGAAATCAACTGATCATGAGTAATCCTACCTTGTAATATATTCATATCCACGATAATATGATCCACTCTCCATACTAGCTGCAGACAAAGGAGCCATCTGGTCTCGCCTAACAATTTGTAGCTGTTTCCGTAGCTGCTCAGATTTCTACAACCAATCATCAGTAAGTCAACCTCTCAAAACTTTTTTCTAGTTACAAACTTTGAAATGTTCAACTTTCTGCAAACTCTTTATACATTTCAATTGGGCAAGCAAGAAAATGTTTGGAATGTGTAAAGGCCCTTTTCTCATGCATTTGAGTATAATTACTTATTGATAATTACCTGTTCTTTTGCTGCCATTAATATCTTCCCAATTCCTACTGCCCAGTTCCTACTGCTTTTATCCTGTAAAAATGATGACTGATTACACTGTTGATACACAAGATCATGAAGTGTGGTTGTATCGTATTTTCCTGACAAATGTCACACATCCTATATCAACACCAGATATCTTTCAAAATATTTCATGCTGAAGTGTACAGGAAAGATAACAAAGGAGATGTTCTAAATGCTGAAGTTTACAGGAAAGATAACAAAGGAGATGTTCTAAATGCTGAAGTGTACAGGAAAGATAACAAAGGAGATGTTCTAAATGCTGAAGTTTACAGGAAAGATAACAAAGGAGATGTTCTAAATGCTGAAGTTTACAGGAAAGATAACAAAGGAGATGTTCTAAATGCTGAAGTTTACAGGAAAGATAACAAAGGAGATGTTCTAAATGCTGAAGTTTACAGGAAAGATAACAAAGGAGATGTTCTAAATGCTGAAGTTTACAGGAAAGATAGCAAAGGAGATGTCCTAAATGCTGAAGTGTACAGAAGATAACAAAGGAGATGTTCTAGATGCTGAAGTGTACAGGATAGATAACAAAGGAGATGTTCTAAATGCTGAAGTGAACTTACAGACTTGATACAACTTTCCAACTTTGACCAGTTGCCTAATCTCCATGCAGACTCAACCATATAAGCATTGAGGTGATGCGCCCAGTCCGGTTTTTCTGCGACAGCCCCAGTGGCATGGAGCAATGCTTTATTGTGTTCACCCAGCTCAATCAGATTACGCAGCAGACCCTGGTGATGAACTACGTTGTCAGCCTCACTCTGGATTGCTTTCTCATAGCATGCCTGGGCACACTGATGTTGACCTGAACAGACAGTATAATCTCAAACCATTACCGACAGACATCCTAACTCTTCACAACATTCAAATCTTTATAGACATCCTAACTCTTCACAACATTCAAATCTTTATAGACATCCAAACTCTTCACAACATTAAAATCTTTACAGACATCCAAACTCTTCACAACTGAACATCCAAATCTTTACACACATCTTCACAATAAAGATTTATCAATACAATATCATGATGAATTTGCGCATTCACGATTATTTCTATGTCTCTCTGAGCAATATGAAGCAGACATGTTTGATGCTTGTTAATTTGCCTGTTGGTTCCTTTATTGCATATCTTTTTCTCACTTGAGAACTTGACATTACTAACTTGAATTTACCATGATTTACAAAGTGGGTGTCATTGATGAAGCAGAAGACACTTACACTTTCGGAACACCTGGTCTTATTCTCCTTATACATTTTCAGGAATCTCCTTGTAAATCCTTCCTTTGTTGATATTTTGCCAAAGTTTTACTGATTTTTAGTTTGTTTTATGATTATGTTGAAATGTTGGTATTTTCTTTTCGTTTTTTTAATGACAAATGGAAAGTCCAATCCGTGCAATATCTTTAGTGCGAATATGCTTAAATAAAATAACCACTAAAATATATACATTTATGGTATAGATTTTCTACGCACCTTGACTTTCGTGTATGAGAATTTGTTCTGTCAGCGTTGGTGCCAGTCTGATTGCCGCTACACCTAACACTCCATCTGGCTCATCAAGAGCGACATACAATTTCTGAAACATGGATATATGTCAACTGTACTAATATAGTCATATACCACTATTGAATATAGCCACAAAGAGCACATAGGTATAGTAACATAGGGACTGTAGATTTAGTCACATACGGCCAGTTAATAGTCACATAGAGAATGTAGATATAGGCACACAGAGAATGTAGATATAGGCACATACCACCAGTTAATAGTCACATAGAGAATGTAGATATAGGCACATACTACCAGTTAACAGTCACATAGAGAATGTACATATAGGCACACAGAGAATGTAGATATAGCCACATACTACCAGTTAATAGTCACATAGAGAATGTAGATATAGGCACACAGATACTGTAGATATAGTCACATACAACCAGTTAATAGTCACATAGAGAATGTAGATATAGGCACACAGATACTGTAGATATAGTCACACAGAGAATGTAGATATAGGCACACAGATACTGTAGATATAGTCACATACAACCAGTTAATAGTCACATAGAGAATGTAGATATAGTCACACAGAGACTGTAGATATAGGCACACAGATACTGTAGATATAGTCACATACAACCAGTTAATAGTCATATAGAGAATGTAGATATAGTCACATACAGCCAGTTAATAGTCACAGAGAATGTAGATATAGCCACATACGGCCAGTTAATAGTCACAGAGAATGTAGATATAGTCACATACGGCCAGTTAATAGTCACAGAGAATGTAGATATAAGCACACAGATACTGTTGATATAGTCACATACGGCCAGTTAATAGTCACAGAGAATGTAGATATAAGCACACAGATACTGTTGATATAGTCACATACGGCCAGTTAATAGTCACAGATACTGTAGATATAGTCACATACAAACAGTTAATAGTCACATAGGGACTGTAGATATAGTCACATACGGCCAGTTAATAGTCACAGAGAATGTAGATATAGTCACACAGAGAATGTAGATATAGGCACACAGATACTGTATATATAGCCACATACGGCCAGTTAATAGTCACATAGAGAATGTAGATATAGTCACATACTACCAGTTAATAGTCACATAGAGAATGTAGATATAGTCACATACTACCAGTTAATAGTCACATAGAGAATGCAGATATAGGCACACAGAGACTGTAGATATAGTCACATACAACCAGTTAAAAGTCACATAGAGACTATAGATATAGTCACATACGTCCAGTTAATAGTCACATAGAGACTATAGATATAGTCACATACGACCAGTTAATATAGACTAAATACAGCCTGTAGATATTGTTAGATGTGGTCAGTAAATATAGACTAAATACAGCCTGTAGATATTGTTAGATGTGGTTAGTAAATATAGACTAAATACAGCCTGTAGATATTGTTACATGTGGTCAGTAAATACTAAATACAGCCTGTAGATATTGTTAGATGTGGTTAGTAAATATAGACGAAGGGAAAGGTAAAGCAACATATTATCAATTAAGCTTTGTATGTTCTTTCTCATACAATTTCATACTAATACAATTGGTAGCTTACCTGCATAAAGTTGAGGTGCTCTTGGATATTGTGACCTTTGCTGGACAAGAACTGTTCAAAATGCATGAGAGCTCTGGAATAGGCTTTGCAGTTGTAACAGGCATCTGCAAGTAGGTCCTGGGCAATCACTTGGCGGAATGCCTGAATAGCTTTGTAGGTAGGATCAGCATGACACACAGGCACTGTTGAAATGTTAATGTTAAGTTTAAAGGTTATGCTCAAGCTTCAAACAAAATGATGAAAACTGAACAGCTTGTTGTATGTTGTAAAAGTTACTATTTTCCAGTTCTGTTTGGTGAATCCATTCTAACTGCTATACAAACAACTAAAAAAATCACATTTCAGCATAATTCTTTCTGCGCAAAAAGAGCTAAAATCAGATTACCCCTAAAACTGGTATATTAACAGACTGCTCGGTCTGTATGTAGTTAAATACATTGTAACGGATAGAAATCTTCATGTTGGTCATGGCTGATTTTTCTTTATAAACTTTTCATACATCAAACAACTGACTACTGGAAAAAATTATCCACCAATCCTCTTTCTACACATTAAGATTGTAGCCATGAATATGTTGAATGCAATTAATTTGAACAGATTTACCAGCTGACCTTTAGTTTGAGGGTCAACCCCTTTCGTCTGGGTCATATAGTGCATCCATTTTGTCAGATAGTCAAGGACAGAGAAGATTGTCTGGGTACTCAGGTGAGGAAGGTTGGCTGCCTTTTGTTTAGAATCTGGTCTTTTGGCCTGATTCAGAACTTCTGCTATCTCATTGTGGATCTGAAATAAAGTGACATCAATACTATACATTAAGATCTTAATATCGCAGTATATTGAACTTACCTCAGTGAAAAATATTCAGGTGGTCTGTTGCATGCTGCCAAGAGCAGTAAGAGTTATGCAACAGCTCGGAGCCACATTCATATTGACAAGTCCATTTCTCAGCTTCCTAAGAAAGATAAACCATCCTAGACGGGAACATCAAACCACATCTCGGCTCTTCACCTGAGGTACAAAGGCCAAGTTTATATACCAGAAGCAACTCACATCGGCTCTTCACCCGAGGTACAAAGGCCAAGTTTATATACCAGAAGCAACTCACATCGGCTGTTCACCTGTACAAAGGCCAAGATTATATACCAGAAGCAACTCACATCGGCTCTTCACCTGAGGTACAAAGGCCAAGATTATATACCAGAAGCAACTCACATCGGCTCTTCACCTGAGGTACAAAGGCCAAGATTATATACCAGAAGCAACTCACGTCGCTCTTCACCTGAGGTACAAAGGCCAAGATTATATACCAGAAGCAACTCACATCGGCTCTTCACCTGAGGTACAAAGGCCAAGATTATATACCAGAAGCAACTCACGTTAGCTCTTCACCCGAGGTACAAAGGCCAAGATTATATACCAGAAGCAACTCACATCGGCTGTTCACCTGAGGTACAAAGGCCAAGATTATATACCAGAAGCAACTCACGTCCGCTCTTCACCTGAGGTACAAAGGCCAAGTTTATATACCAGAAGCAACTCACATCAGCTGTTCACCCGAGGTACAAAGGCCAAGATTATATACCAGAAGCAACTCACATCGGCTGTTCACCCGAGGTACAAAGGCCAAGATTATATACCAGAAGCAACTCACATCGGCTGTTCACCCGAGGTACAAAGGCCAAGATTATATACCAGAAGCAACTCACATCGGCTGTTCACCCGAGGTACAAAGGCCAAGATTATATACCAGAAGCAACTCACATCGGCTGTTCACCCGAGGTACAAAGGCCAAGATTATATACCAGAAGCAACTCACATCATTGATGTCCTTTGGTGTGCCATCCCTGAGAACCTGTAGGACAACGTAAGGCAGGATGTACAAGGCCAGGTTACCATTGTGTTTGATGACAGCACTGCAAGAGAGGAAGACTTCTCGAGCAAATCCCTTCTTTACCTAAAAAAAAAGAAAGATCTGAGCTATTGTGATTTGTAATTTAGATGACAGAAGACCTATCCATGTCGGTGTGACCTTGGCCAGAGTCAACAAGATACTCAGTTTTACTTAAGTTCACTTCAACCTTTCCTAACATGTTGTCATGACACTACAAGGGTAAAATGAATCAAATCTCAGATATGACACTGATCTGAAAAAGGACGAAATCAGACAAATTGACATTAGACAGGACAGACGAACATGGGTAAAACACTCAATGTCCCCCGAATTTGTGTCACTGTTGATTGAGTTTAATCATTTTTGCAGTCAGTTCCGTTATTAACTGAGTTGTTTGTTACCATTGTTGAAAAGCTTACACAAGGCTATGAAATAGAGAGCACTCATATCAACTTATCAGCTGTGACTTAACAGACACAGCTTGGTACCCATCAATATTTGATTTTATTTGCTCTTTAAGTACTGAAATGATCTTCCCCTCTTTTTTCCCCCTGTCCAATCCAAAATGGTTGTTTGTTAGTCATTTTGTTTTTCTGATCAGACTAAAGACAAATGGGCATTAGGGACTAACAGGAACGTATACACATGAAATCTGAGAAAGATCTATCCTTTACATTTCTTCCTGAGACAAAACAATAACAAACAGTCATAGCCAAAATCCAAGAGGACCACCTATCAGCAATGTTGTTCTGATCAATTCTAAAATCAAAAGGGCACAACTAGAGGCCAAGGTAAACTCATATAAAAACTTAGTAAAAGTCCATCTTGAAGCTCCTACTTTTCAAAAAATAGCAATTATAAACTTCCATTGTCAAAATCAAAGATGGCTGCCTGTCTGCCATTTTCATGTTTTTTTTACCAGTCTTAAAACCAAACGGGCATGACTGGGCATCAAGGGGAACCTACACAAGAAATATTTCTGATCCACTCTCAATACTTTTTACCTCAAGGTCATTGAACCAACAACAAAAATTAAGCATGATACCTCTAAAATAAATACAGTCTTTAAAATCATTTATATAAAGATAAACACCTGTTGACCTTAAATTTACCTTTGATGACAGGTAGCCTGTCCAGGTGCTGACCCAATTTTCAAAATTGTGCCCCTTCTCACTGCAGTAAATAGGGGTGACCTGTTTTGACCAGTCATGCTTGGTAGAATTGGTCAGTGCATATCTACAAGTAATACAAAGATTCAATTTTTAAGAATGATAATGAAATTTCATTCATCATAGGTTTATCCTATGAACAATAATATTGTAGATAAAGAAATACTTTGTACTGTAATACCACATACAACTGACATATTAAGTATGGTTACTACAATTAGAAGTCAGTCATGAAAAGGTTGGTATGGTATTAAAATGAATTCTTTATTTCAACATTCATGTAATTTCAAAACATACTGCACCTAAATTTTTTTTATAAAAATGAATTTACTTTGAGCTGAGGAATGGAATGAGAATTTCCTGAACATGATCTGGGAATCGTTTCCAGATGCGGCCCGAGCTCCCATCACCAGTCTTTGGCTCAGTTATTTTGTATGTTTTCAGCAGTTCTTGTAAGGCAAATGCAGCAGTGTCCTGACAGTACAAATTAAAAATAGTACCAATTCCTGTTTCAATACATTTTCAGTCTAGGTGATATATTTTGTAACAAAGTTTATTAAACTGGCTATACATGTACCAGAATTCAAATCTGATTTATTAGAAGTTAAGAGAAGTACAGACTCCATGATTCTTTAAGAGATTTATCTCTGGTACAAATGTCTCCTGTTACCTGTATCCTGGACTCTGGAGCAGCAAGAAAAGCATTGATGATTTCACTGATGAGTTCAAGAGCAAAATTTTCCTCCTCTATATTGGCATGGTATTTAGCTAAGTCTGCTTTCGGGTTGTTACACATTAACTCTAGTCTGAAATACATTCATTAACATTGCGATAAAAATTAAAAACTAAAATCTAATATTTTATTAATTTTAAATATACTTTGATTTTACCGTTGGCTTACTGAGAGCAGATTATTTCCAAATAAATCAACACAAATGAAAAGGATAAAAGAAGAATTTTAAAAATTGAAGAAAAAATAAAATGTCTCACAGTGACATATAATGCCCAACCAACAATCAAGATTAAGTTTGGATCTCTTCAGTGTAATTGACTTTGTTAAGAGGTTTTATAATGAATAATGAGATAGTATAAAAGAAATTAGGATGAAATGATAGAATAAAGGCCAAGGGCAGCACTATATGCCCCTGACCATAAAAAAAAACCACCAAAAATTTGATAATTTGAAATATACAGAAAATTTGACTGTAGTTTTCATAACATACATAAATATCTTAATTAGAAAGTAGCTTTTAAAAAAGTATAAATGTATTGAATTAGAAGATGCTTCAGACAACAAAACCCCTGCTTCGTTTTGTACCTGAACCTGATCAGGTGTAAATATTGATGATACTGTGGAGTAAATATGAACCAAATATGCTGAGACATCCACAAGTTATGACATTGGTTGGGAATGTAAATAAACAGGATGAGAAGAAATAGTTGGTAACATAATTATGTTTCTATAACCCAAAATAATAATGGATTTGGCATAAAAATGTGTTTACTTACCTGCCTGGATCTATAGCACCTAGCTCTCCAATACACTCTGCGTAAAGGCACTGTGCTCGAGGATCTGTCTCACGGCAGCCTTGTAGGAGCTGAAACATTCCAAAAGCACATACACCATCAAGGTTTAAAAATTATACACATTTTCAATAATATCTTGTAGAAATTTTACTGAATGAACCATAAAAAAAACACTTTTAACTGTGAAATATATCTTACTTCTAATTATATTTATCAAAACTGGCAACACAAAAAGAAATACAGGATTGATATTACTGTTTGAGGAAAACAGATTTCAGCAAAAACTCATCTAGTCGGCCAGGTGACTAGGGAATCCAATCCAAAAACCTTTTGTAAATGGTAACTGCATCACTATCAGACCTTAAAGCCACCCACCCCCAACAACTGAACGTATAATCAAGCACTGCACAGGTGTTTCTTTAAGAGGTGTTTGATTTTACGCCACTGTTGAAAATAGAACAAAATCCTGAACATGAGAAACTCTGCACATTAAAATATGTAAAAGAAACTGTTGTCTGTTTGAATGTTTCTGTTGAGAAATATATACTTTTTATTTCAAATTATATGTTTTTATTACTTAACGAAACAATGAAGCCACAAAAATGTTTATAATGTCTCTTCAGGAAGGTTTGATGGTTATGTACCTATCTGAAAGTACAAACCAAAGTCTTATTAACTTACCAGAGAAACCAGATTGGAGATTACTGGATCTGCTGTCTCATTACTGTTCACATACTCGTACAACTTATCCTGCAGGATAGAAAACTTTATAACTGTTTTTTTTTTGTAAACCCAAACATACACTAACAGCTATCCTTATTAGCAAACAGTTGTAGGCAGTTTTCTTGTTTGTTCAATTTCACAAAGGTATCATATTCATAGTAGTATATAGTTAAAATGTAAACCCAATTTTCTTTTAGCCTGAAACTTATTTTTACCGCCCCAAGTACACAAAACGCTGCAGAGTCCAATGCTTTAATGAATGAGGTATCATACATAAAACAATCAGATAACAGTTGTAACGAAACATAATCTGGATACTCACCTTTTCATCACGGAGAAGTTTGAGGAGTTTAGACAAAGCATGTCTCCTGACATCAACACTTTCGTGGGCTATCCCTTTGGTGGAGTTGGTCAAAGATGTCTTTAAATCCGACTGGCTGGAGGTCACAAAAATCGTAAAATAAAAACATTATATCATACGGCTGTCCAAGATCACTACATAAATCTCAAATATTAACTAACTTGTCTGAACAAGACAAGTTTAAAAACATTTCATCACCAACATCATGATACCCTGGTGGTCATCATAAATCAGAACAGTGAATAACACATTTCATTTCCTAATAAAGTGGAACTTCTCTAAACCAACCATGCATGGGAAATCAATATCTGGCGATCTCAGAGGTAACGTTACATACATGTACATATGGTCTTATGTAGCCAATATCGGAGTGTTCGCTTGTCCGAAAGTGTTATCGACCAAAATGCTTGATGAATATGTGTTTTTTATTGATCAGTATGAAAATATATCTTCTAAAACAACATTTGATTAATATTTCCATTCTGTATGTGTTAAGATAATATCATTTAATTTCTCAGGATTTAGATGGGAAACTTTGGCTTTCCAACTCTGCATCAGAACTTATTTTCACTTTATTGCTAGCCAATTCTTGCTTCGGCAAAATGATAGACTTGATCCTTATGGTTTTGTCATTGGAGGTAACTATACATTATGTTTATTATAATAACCCTTCTGATCAGGGTAGGTGTTGTGTACAAAGCCTAGCCATGACCGACATACATGCCAGGGGGCAAAGATTTCACGGTCTGCTTGTTGGAACTGATATCTTGATTGTTCAGGTAAGGATTTTCCGAGTTATAGTATATTTTGATCATATCGCACACAATTTTTGTTCGGTATTTTGAATTGAGAGGGGTCAAAATTGGGAAAGTTGATATAATTTTAATAAAGAGGACATCATTCTGTACATGGCCATGAGAAGAATTGATGTGAGAAAGTTCTACTGTGTTGTGACCACTGTACAGTGAAGCTTAGAACATGTTTCACTAGTGATTTTTTTTATAACAGATACATGTTGAGGGTGTTAAATTTGACACTTTCAAATGATGAAATGTTAAGAGATAACTTTTATGAGAAATAACACATTAGGTATAAATACGATAAAACCGACGGGAAGAATACTCAGATTCTGACAAAACAGGACATTAGAATACTTTTACAAGGGTCAAATAAAGGCAAAGTAGAAAAACACTGGTGATTGTGTTAGGTGTGATGACAGAATAATCAAAGTTCAGATAGGCAGGATGTTGAATACCAGTATGTATTCAAAAGATTTCACAACAGCTCCAACAAAAGATTCATTTTTATCTTATAAATGTTTCTTGAAAAGAGACAGAAAAGAGGTTTATGAATAAATTACGTAGAGGCACATTGCGGGTAATCTTAATAGCTTATTACGTTATAATAATATGGACTAGGGGGCTATAACAGCTGTAGTGCTTGCCAAAACTTCAGTATTACCCGGCCAACAAGTAAATGCTTAAATAGACGTCAAGATATCGAAGCTGCTGGCTGAGTTATGTACCTGAAGAGAGGCAATTTAACTATTTACTGCAAAATAGAATTTTTAGGGGACTTACGAATTACATAATGAAGTAAAATGCCCAAATTGAAGGTGTACCAAGGACAGTGCAATGGGGACAAACAGTTGTTATACAAGACATACCTCGAGGGACTTTCCACATACTGCTTTAGGACACCATTACACTCAGCTAGTTCTGGTATGTCAGGCAGAAAGTAGATCTCATGGAAATGATCATGTAACACTTCCCTGTAATTACAGATAAGTTCTCTTTCATCAAACCACTTACAATTGTACAAACACTGAATATTCACAGATATTATACTTTTCTCTAATTTTTTGTATACATCCTTGTACTATTCAGTCACCCTATTAATGTCTCAAGACAAGAGACAAATGGGCCTCATAGTCATCAGGATATAGAAGAAGAGATAGTGGGGGACAATTTTAACAATTATGGAGTACATTCAACAATCTATTTTACTTTAGCCAGAGTATTGTTTTGGATTTGTTTTTGGCAAGTTTCTTGTAATCTGTGACAAAGGCAAGAAAAATAACAACATTTTGTCAATTTAAGTAAAATTTAAGCCAGTTTCAGCTCAGTGGCACAAGGGAAACTCAGTAAAAATAGATTTTTCAATACAGAGGTCACCGTATCCATCTTGGATTTAAAACCAATCTCATTCATACACTGGTTATAAACTAACCTGTTATCTACAATGATGTAGGAGAAAATGTCTGCAACCTGTTTTGGGAGCGGTTCCAGAAGAGGCAGAAGTGTGGCGATGATCTGTGACATCATCTGTCCCAGAAAGGGCAACTCCAGGCTGTTAAACACAAGACATGTAACCACTGAAGCAATTTACAAAGTCTCAATCCAAACACCAGCATGTTAGTGTGTTTATATTGTGTATTTATAGCCAAGGTCTAAGATCTTCAATGACAGCTCATGAGTGTGTTCTCCGACTGAATATTAGAAATCACATACTGTACCTGGAAATTTTTTACCCTATTTAATGTTCGACCTTTACATCCGTGGACAGGGAGGGCAAAAATTTGTTACTTTTATAACCCTTTAATCTAAACCTCAGTGAGTGGGAAGAACATGAGGCAAATTGTGCATTATGGTCGCAGGTGAAAGTAACCAGGGCAAAAATATCTGTATACAAAAGTACAAAGATGGATCACATGACTGTCTTGCCATTCAGTAACCATATAAATTTTATGCTTTGGCTTATTACATGTGTAATATAACCATTACACATGTAATGTTATCATTATTCACTGAAATAAGGCTAGGATTGTGCCAATACTGTGATTTTATAAACATTTTAATAACCTGGTCCTCTAACCTTCTGGGTATCCTGAAGTATACTACAGGGTATTGAGGTTAAATGTTGGTACATTAGATGCAATCAATTTAGTAAATATTTACCATCTATTAAATTTCACACTTTATATACCAACCACATTAAATGTAAAACCTTGCAGAATATCCAGTAGACCAGGCCTGCATGAATTTTGTCTGTAAAATAAGACATTTAAGCTTCATAGACTTGTTTTTATGAAGACATACCTAGTTACAAAACAGTTCCAAGCCCGACAGGATACCTCCATCATCTGTTTGTCCTTGCACTTGAGCCCAATCCTGCCATCAACAAGAACATATTTATTTATCTAAACATAAAAAATTGATTCATTTTATAGCAATTGTGAAACAAGCTACAATTTTAAGCTTATATTGATCAGTCTTTTTGGTATGGATTGCAGAATGTGAGGGTCTAACTGTGGGAGTACCTTAGGTAAGTCCACGTATTCGGGCAGATGACCACATACCTTTTCAACCCTCAGAGAAAGACAAGTGCATAACCACTAAGCCATGTGACCACCCTTAATTTAATCTTTGTAGTCAATTTTCATAATAAAAAAACTTGCTATGCGTGCAGTGTAAGTGACATTAAACATAAAGCCATACATATTGATTTTATGAAATGTAGCACTAAGCAGGGAGTGTTTAATTGCACAACTTTGTTATTTGAAAGTACAAGAAGTACACTATATTCAATCATCAAAAACTTACCTAAGAGTGTTGACAACTTTGTGACGGATAACGCCAATGTATTTTGATCCCATCAGACGGATGATAGAAGTCAAACTCTCCAGTGTCTATCAAAATGAGGTCATAAAACATTAGGTTAATTCTGATCAAATGTATACTCCATCTTGTCATACAAATTACACATGTATACCTATATCCACACACGCACGCACGCACGCACACGCACACGCACACGCACACACACACACACACACAACTTAAACATATCCCACTCTATACTCATTCTCTAAGTTTGTACAATAAAAAAAAACAAACACAAACAGTCCATTTGATGAATTCTGCAAGAAAAAAAACCAAAAAACACAAAAACTCCCAATTCATGAAGTTTTTGGTATAGCTACTAAAATTTGCTCCAGGAGATAAAGAGAAACAAATACAGTTTACACTTACTAGTATTTTGTCCTCCAGTGGAATGCTAACAGTCAGTAGTTGTGAGTCAAAGAAAGCTATCACTCCCAGCAGACGAGGCTGGAGGTAGGCTGCCTACAACAGGGTGAATATGATGGTTTTATTGCCTTGGTAACAACTAAGGTCAAGGTTGAGGAAGAGACTCCTTGTGGTAGCTGATGGCTACCTCAATGAACAACGTATGAAAGACCTGCTACATACTGACCACAGCGATTAGGGTAAAGTGTCTTGCTCATGGACACAACCATAGCAGTATAAAAAAGTCTGTTTCTCAGCTTTCAGGGAGATACAAACCACCCCCAGTAGAGAGCATCTTATCAGACACTTTGGATCTTCACCTGTACTTACATTGGCCAATGCTCTACTGACTGACTTAAAGGTGACAAACACAGAAAATTAAAATAGTACTTTTCCTGTCGTTTTGCATTCTTCAAGTATTAAAAAAAAATATCAGCATAAATATTTATTTTGAAAATGTGTAAAAACACAAGAAATTAATAAAAAATAATACCAAAGGGTGTCATGGCTACTAGAAATCTTGTGCAAGTTATCATTCCTGAAACCGGAAGACCTGTGACGTCATTTGAGACCAAGTCATTTTTGCCATTTTTGTTGTTGTATAGACGAATGATATGGACAATTATAAATTTTTCTGGACTGCCACTCTGAACAAACAAGTAAATGTCCTATCAATTTATAAGACAGAGAAGAAATTACACTGGAAGAATATCATATAGACCATAAAAGTGCTGGCATACCATCTGTTCTGATGTGGTGATATCTTTGGGTCCCTGATAGCTCTCATCATAGGTAGCCAGTACACGCAATCCATTGAAGACCTGAATGATGGAAAGTTATTGTAAGTAACTATTTAATGTAACCTGTATGAAAGACTTCACAGTAACATCAACTTGTGGGAAATGTTTTCCAGTACTGAAAACAATGTCCAGAGGTGATCCAATTTGATTACACTTTAAACATACTTACCAGTACTTACTCGGATTTCAGTGAAATCTGTATCTAAGTATGACTTCTTAGATTTGATCTAGTAATAAGCTCACTCATACATACCTGTTGCTGTTATGTCAAATTACCAGAAAATTATGTTTCATCACCCTGCAATTAAGAGGCCTTACTTACTGGTAGTCTGTACATACCTGTGAATAGTCTGTACATACCTGTGAATGGTCTGTACATACCTGTGAATAGTCTGTACATACCTGTGAATAGTCTGTACATACCTGTGAATAGTCTGTACATACCTGTGAATAGTCTGTGAATAGTCTGTACACACCTGTGAATGGTCTGCACACACCTGTGAATGGTCTGCACACACCTGTGAATGGTGCACACACCTGTGAATGGTCTGTACATACCTGTGAATAGTCTGTACATACCTGTGAATAGTCTGTACATACCTGTGAATAGTATGTGAATAGTCTGTACATACCTGTGAATGGTCTGTACACACCTGTGAATGGTCTGTACACACCTGTGAATGGTCTGTACACACCTGTGAATAGTCTGTACATACCTGTGAATAGTCTGTACATACCTGTGAATAGTCTGTGAATAGTCTGTACACACCTGTGAATGGTCTGCACACACCTGTGAATGGTCTGTACACACCTGTGAATGGTCTGTACACACCTGTGAATGGTCTGTACATACCTGTGAATAGTCTGTACATACCTGTGAATGGTCTGTACATACCTGTGAACGGTCTGTACATACCTGTGAATAGTCTGTGAATAGTCTTTACATACGTTGAATGGTCTGTACATACCTGTGAATAGTCTGTGAATGGTCTGTACACACCTGTAAATATTCTGTACATACCTGTGAATAGTCTGTACTAAGACGTAGGAGTAACTCCTGGTGAGTTCTTTGAAAGTGGAGTCGCACTAGTCCTCCCAGGTCAACCTCTGTTTCATTCTGTCAATATTGTTACAATGTAAACTATTATGCTGTGTTACTAATGGCATCTATATCACTTGTATACTTGTATCATCAGCAATAAAATTTATTATTTATTAGTTATTAATTAGGTATAATATTTTTTGACACTTTCAAACATTCAGAGATAAAAGTTTGTTTACAGACAAAAACCAAAAACTTGAATTTCTGAAACAGATTTTGGCTAATCTGAAAATATTGAATTAAAGATGAAGTGAACCAAGTGACCAAAATCTTGGTTTGTGTTTTTGCTTGCATTTTGAATATGGAGAGGATTACATAAATACCTGTAGGAAAGTGATGGCTCTTTCCATCTCAGCTTTACCACAGTGACACACTAAGTAAGTGTAGGTGTACTTAATCATCTCCAGTAGAAGCTTCATCCGACTCTGTAAACAAAAGATGAGCATCAATACCTGTCTGTAGCCATGGAAACGTACAATAACACCTGTCTAGAAACAAGTACACAGTAACACCTGTCAAAAGTGACACTTTTCTACAATGCGATATTGAGATACTACTTACTGGCACGTTGAGTAGTGTGGCCATCAGTTTGATCAGAGAAGAGGCTTCAGGTGTAGCTTTGCTAACCAAGTGGGGCACCATGTACTTCTTTGTTCCCTGAAGATATGACCATTACAAATGTGTTTATGTCCATCTTTACAAAATCTACCTTATACAAAAATATTGTTTTACAGTTGATATAAGAAAGTCTCGGTGCTGTTTTACTGTATACAGAAAATAAAAATTCCTTTCTTGTTAAGTTAATGTTTACTCCATTATACTGTATACCGGGAAGTGTTATCTTTGTTTAATTTTTGCATATTTTCGTTCATTAACAGGAAGGGGGAATCCATGATAGGGGCGAAAACTTGTTACACTTACATAACTCTCTGAGAGCAAAACGAACTTGAGGTGAATTTACGTATAATGGTACAAAGGGAGAGAATAACCAGGTATACAGTATTAACATAATCTTTTTTCTATCAATCTTCTAATCAAAACAGGTGTAGATTTTTAATCTTTAGCAACAGTAACTGTATCACTGTGTAATTGCTATAACTAATCATTCTGACTTATTGTATATTTGATAAGATCTTACCTGTAGAAATAACTTAATGTCTGTGAAATCTAGGACTTTGGCAACGTCTCTGAGGATAGCTTCTGGGCTGCGGCCCCCTGGAGTCACCTGGGCTTGGTGCATGGCTTCAACAAGGAACTACAATGTACACAGAGCTTATAGTGAATCTAAGCTTTATAAAAGACATCTGACATATCAACTTATCTGTAACTTCATGTACTCTAGACATACTGGATTTCGTTCAGTCAAATTGGCCAACGATTAACATGCACATCCACAATTATTGCTATGGAAACATGATATAGAAACTGCAGTTATTGTGATTGTATTTTAGAGCAGTACTTACAGTGTGAAAAAAGCTAAAACTTCTATGCTTACAGTACCTTCATCCTCATCAAGGTACAAATATTTTCACTATGCTAGTGGAACACTTTCAAGATTCAATGTCAAAGCATTTTTCTATATGGCCATATTTAAAAGCCAATTTAACTTCAGTCAAAGATATTTGATCACAAACATAACCAAATGTGCTTAAGTCTATCTCTATTTATTTTTAAATTGCTGGCATACCTTGCAAATTGACAGTCTTGACTTCATAAATAAATCCTGAGTCTTTGTTTTCTTGAATTGTGCCACAGACTTCAACTATAAAAGAGAGTGTATATACTGATTCCAATGAAACTAGTATTCTGTCTAAGATTCTATGTCTTATTTAGTAATATCTGGATATTAAGGCACAAGAATCTCAGCCGACCATACAAGTGATTTATTTTAGATCTTTCGACCAAGTAAAGTTTCATCATTATTTGAGAATTATTAGGTTTCCCTTCCCAGAGACTGACAGACGATAAAACACATTAAATTTTTTTTTAAAAGTTTGCTGCGAAAATAACTGCGAATGTCCGTTATTCTGAAAAAAGGAAGAATAATATGATGTGAAAATATATTATTTACTGTTACACATTCTGACAACTGTATAAAAAAAGTGGTGCACAAGCATACTGATTTCTAAAATCAAATTATTCACAAAATCATCATCAGAAAAAAAAAGTTGGATACTTTTTTTTTTTTTTTTTTAACTTCACGGAGCAGTACATCCTTAATTGCAGATAACATTTTCAGTTATGTACAATTTCACACAGAAAAAGGAAACAAAATATTACCAACAATACAAGGAGGAGACAAAAAACAGAAAATATTTACAAGACCTGAATGCATCTGCTCCTATGTAAACCAGAATCTGATCAGGTTTAGAAATTTATATGATAATATGGGTAAAATGTGAACCAAACTTGTAGAGAAGTGGTCAAGATATGATATTGATTGTGAATGGGTTGGGAGGGACGGACACACATGTATTACATCCCAATAAATTTGTGGTGGATTTATTGTACAATAATGAGAGTAAGCACTAATTGCCTATACAATGACCAACTTACCTGTTCATAAGCCACTGCAGAAATCAGTGGTACTGGAGACAGCAGGTTTTCTAGGAGGCTGACAATGACTACCAGGATCAGATCATCACCAGCCAGTCTGACAAAAATGCAAAAATACAGCCATCATCTGATGGTCTCAATACAAACCTTACAATCCAGCACTAGAAATATCTCAGCAACACATACAATGGCTATTGTTTTTGCTTGATTGGAAATATCTGTACATAAGTTGCTATTGACAAGGAATTCAAAATCATGTACAATAGTAACACTACATAAAAGATTTTTTTTTTATGTTAAGCTTTCAATAATAAACTACAAAAGCTATCATAAATTTGATAAAACAACACATAACAGTTATACACAAGGACGACCATAAATTACCACTCTGATAACAAAGCTTTGATACACTGACCTGCCAAGCTGTGACACTGTGAGGAGAATTGTTTCTTGTAGTCGAATATTTCCGTCCTCACGAGCCTTATCAAGTGAAGTCTTTAGTTTGCGTACCATGAGATTATTTAGGTCGCTGAAACCATCACCCACCAAAGAATTTATGATCTGACTGAAAAAAAGAAGAAGAAGAAAGAAACTTGAGTTTTTGTATTATATTCTAGTGCGTAATATGTAGATTTGTAATCTTGTAAATCCAGGAATGAACACTGCCCTGCAATATGAGACAATGAAAATAGCAGTAACAGTGCAGTACCTGATAGTAAGTAAGATGCCGTTCAAATGGTTTCCTGTACATACCTGAATCTGACCCGTACTTTATAGTCATTATCTTCAATCAGACACAGACATGTATTCAGCATGCCCATAGTGGCTTGGTTGTTGCTCCTCAGACCAATATGTCCAAACATTCTTCTTAGACTGTTTATCATCGCTGTAATAAGCAGGAAATCAAATCATCAAGAGTTTATCATCGCTGTAATAAGCAGGAAATCAAATCATCAAGAGTTTATCATCGCTGTAATAAGCAGGAAATCAAATCATCAAGAGTTTATCATCGCTGTAATAAGCAGGAAATCAAATCATCAAGAGTTTATCATCGCTGTAATAAGCAGGAATTCAAATCATCAAGAGTTTATCATCGCTGTAATAAGCAGGAAATCAAATCATCAAGAGTTTATCATCGCTGTAATAAGCAGGAAATCAAATCATCAAGAGTTTATCATCGCTGTAATAAGCAGGAAATCAAATCATCAAGAGTTTATCATCGCTGTAATAAGCAGGAAATCAAATCATCAAGAGTTTATCATCGCTGTAATAAGCAGGAAATCAAATCATCAAGAGTTTATCATCGCTGTAATAAGCAGGAAATCAAATCATCAAGAGGACACAAGTTCTAACAATATGTACCCAGCAATAAGCCCATCTCTGGAAAAAAAGGCCCATCAATATCTAATGCATTTTTAATAGAAATGCTAACTAATTTAATTGATCCCACATCAAATTTACAAAATTTATTGAAATTAGGGATTTATGTTCCTTCTGAATTTAATTTTAACCAATTTTGATTTTTCTAAGTGGTCTCCATGGTTTCATTAACTTTGGCCCTTAGCATCACCGAAGAAACTAGAATGATGAAACAGCAGTATGATGCAATTTAATTCAATATTTAATTCTACTGTATCTAATTCTAAATTCAAACTGAATGGTGATATATTAACTTTGAGCGTTTTGTACAAATCTTTATTTTTTAATAAGCCCACTTTCCCTCTGAGAACCATAGAATATACAATGGTCTCTTTGATTTAATGACAAATAAATAATTTACTATCACAAGAAGGTTTATCAGTAATATGGTGAAATCATATGGAATTTTAAGATGTATATGTCATACTGACCTAGCTTGACCTCTTGGTTTTCTGTGTCCAGTAAAGTAAGGAACTTTGAAAACATGTTTGGATCAACAAGTCTTGGTCGCTCCTTGGTCGACTTACAGGACTCTTTGTCTGCAAAAATAATGACAATAAATATGAATAGGAGACACACTGTATGTAATACTGACCTTGTAATTTTTCACAGGAGATACACTGTATGTAATACTGACCTTGTAATTTTTCACAGGAGATACACTGTATGTAATACTAACCTTGTAATTTATCACAGGAGATACACTGTATGTAATACTGACCTTGTAATTTATCACAGGAGATACACTGTATGTAATACTGACCTTGTAATGTATCACAGGAGATACACTGTATGTAATACTGACCTTGTAATTTTTCACAGGAGATACACTGTATGTAATACTGACCTTGTAATTTATCACAGGAGATACACTGTATGTAATACTGACCTTGTAATTTATCACAGGAGATACACTGTATGTAATACTGACCTTGTAATTTATCAAAGGAGATACACTGTATGTAATACTGACCTTGTAATTTATCACAGGAGATACACTGTATGTAATACTGACCTTGTAATTTATCACAGGAGATACACTGTATGGTCTGTGAGGTAGAAGTGGTCCCCAGTGTCTTAAAACTGCTGAAACAGTTAATAAAACATCACCATGGTTACAGAAACATCCAGATTATTGACTTTTGATGATTCACTATAGGAAAACAATCCTGCTGATTATTTCTTCATGATGAATAAGTATCCTTAAAATGTGAAAAAATTCAGACAAGAGGGGAAACAAACTTTCAAAAAAAAAAAAAAAAAAAAAATAAAAATAAAAAAAGGCTGAATATTACAAATAATCAACATAAATCTAAGCCCCACTCACATTACTTGCATACCCTCTTCTTGCTGAACTGATCACTTGATCCAGGCCTTTGAATTGCTCAAAACAATAGTCCTTGAAAGTCATGTACTGCTCAAACTGATATTTATTCTTATCCTTACAAAGTATTTCTATCTTTTGTGTCAACACCTTACATAGTGTTAACTTGTGTCACACAAGACTGTTTCAAAACAGTTTTATTGGAATAGTGTCTTCAAATGCCAAATTTTCACCTGTTTTCCTACAAAGTTTCACTTCACAGCATATTTCCTATAACTGCCCATTTTTACTTCTTAACATATTGCCTATAAATGTTCACTTTTACTTCTTAACATATTTTCTGTAAATGTCCACTTTTACTTCTTAACATATTGCCTGTAAATGTCCACTTTTGCTTTTTAACATATTTCCTATAACTGCCCATTTTTACTTCTTAATATATTGCCTATAACTGCCCACTTTTACTTCTTAACATATTTTCTGTAAATGTCCACTTTTACTTGTTAACATATTTCCTATAACTGCCCATTTTTACTTCTTAACATATTGCCTATAACTGCCCACTTTTACTTCTTAACATATTTTCTGTAAATGTCCACTTTTACTTGTTAACATATTTCCTATAACTGCCCACTTTTCCTTCACAACCTATTTCCTAAAAAAAACCCAGTTTTACCTCACAACTTATTTTCCATACCTGGTAAATTTGCAACTCAAAAGTAGTTTTACCCGAGAACTATTTCTTACACTTGCCCAATTTTCACTGACAACTGTTTTCCTACCACAGTGTTTACCTGACAACACTTTTCCTGCAGACAACACATGCCAGTTTTCCTACAGTATCTGCCATCGTTTTCTGTATTTCAGGGTCTCTGTCATCCACCAAGGCACTAAAAATAATAAAAATTTCAGGTTTATTTATAACTGGTGATTTCACATGAAATGTGTTAATAATCATTAAAAGTAACAACACGGTATGAGAGAAGTAGACATAGGGTACACGATCTTTAGCTAGTGAAGAGAAATGTTTATAAGAACAGTTTATATCCCAGCTACTTTCAAGTTTATTCAAAACTAAGTACACCTACTCTCCACCATGTTACCATTATATATTAACATTTCCCTGGACCTCTTGTTATTGAAAAGTGGTTTGAATAACATATCTGACCCGGTAACCTTGAAAGTTAGTCAAGGCCATTTGTCTGAGCAATCTTCATATCATTCACCAAAGCATGCTACTGGCCCAGCATTTGACCAATGTGACCTTGAAAGTGAGTCAATGTCATTCATTTGAAAAAAAAAAAACTGACATTCATCCCAGCATGCTACTGGCTCAGTGTTTTTACATCAGGCCCCACTTGTATAAAACATCTCTCGAGATTTTCCTCAGCTAATATCTCCTTGAAAATATCATGTATGAAAATTCCTTAAGGAATTTCAGGACATCCCAGCCGATGCCTTCCTCCTGTTCCTTGAGAAAATTTTATACAAGCCATTTTTGAGGAGATATCAGCTGAGGAAAATCTCGACTTGAGGAAATCTCAAGGTGAGATGTTTTATACAAGTGGGGCCAGGTGTCCTAAGATATTGTGAAGTCATTTAAAGGCAGAAAGTGAAGCTAGAGGGATAGATAATGGATACTATGCTATGGCTTAAGCTTACTTAACCTTCAGTTAGGTGAGCTAACAAACTTTAACATCCAGGCAATGAAAAAAATACCATTACTCAATGTCAATTCATCTTCATTTTACACAGTTACATTTTGCCTATTTCATTTTGAAAATTAAAGAAATTCAAAACTATATTAAAACAACATTCAAAAAAACAAATAAAGTATTTAAAATTGAAAATTTTATCACATTCTGAAAAAATTCATTGGAACATCATGTATTCAGCACTTATTACTTCGTCAAGTTTTGGTAATCCTTCCATTCTGACCCTGTTTTGTATTTTATAAATCAAAGCTCTACCATCAAAATGTAATATGCTGACTTGTTGGTGACTTACTGAATAAGTTCGTAGACCAAATGATTAGCATTGGGTCCAAGGTGATGTAAGAGCAATGGAAAAGTGTTCAGTGCTGACTGTCGCATTTTACATTCACCATCTCCCTACAAAAGTATATATCACTGTTTAATATGTTAAATTTTATAGGCAAATCATGCCTGTAGACCAAAGATCCCATTCTAAAAGCATCAATTATTCTGAGATATCACTGTTCAAAATTGAGGATTTGATAGAAATTCAACAATAGGCCCACATACAGTGGAAACTTGATAATATCACATTTTTCTCTGACAATAATTATACTGTAAATCAGGAAACATAAATATATTATCAAATAAATCTATACTGGAAATTGTGGTGTTTCAGAACTTCAACAAAAAGTTCTCCTTTTTGCTTTAAACTTTTGAAGTACAGTTGTAAAAATTAAAATATTGAAAAAATATCCTTAGCAACACGGTTTTTCCTATCTATATTTGCAGAAAATTGCCACTATTCCCAGGAATGTTCCAAGATCCGTTCATTAAAACTTAAAGCTATGTATAGTATACACCCTCAGTCTGTTGAGTTAGATATGAAAACTAACTAATAAACTATAATTATGGTCTGTGAAACATGAACTCCTTCCAAGTTCACTCACAAATGACTGCATATCAAATCTTCTAAGATTACTTCTCACTCTGTCTATTGTTTAACAGTAAATTTTCTGTTTGGAAAAGTGTAATAAAAATAATCCCTGTCAACTGACCACAACACCATGGTTGATGCCTTTTGTCAAGATGAGTGGGGTTTGAACTTGGGATAAAACATGGAAAGTATTGGGGTCACATTTCTGAACATGTTCCCCAGTACTCCAGTTTCCTCTCACCGTGAGATTTATGTGCTCTGATCTAGTCAGGAAGAAGTGATTAAGATATTTTTTTCCTTCATAAAATTTTGATACAAATGCCCTGCACTCAAAAGCAATCGACTTTAATACTCACAAAAGCTTGCCTAAAGACATGAACCCTCCATTTTGGGGCAACATCTTTAGGCAGAAAGGACAAGACATGTAGACTTTCATGTTTAACAGCATTATCTGAAAAACAAAAACATAGAGATGGTATAATGATTTCAATGTTTCTACATCCATCTTACATGTTCCTACCATGTTTGTCCAGTGATAACCAATTAGGCCAATAATTTACTTGTAATTCAAAGAAGGGGATGGCCTAATTACCTGACAAAAAACATCAAGAACAAGAGGCCCAGAGGGCCTGTATTGCTCTACCGGATCTTTATGACCAACATTACTATATCTGTGGATATGTTCCATTTAACACATTTGACCCCTGTGACCTTGAGTATGGGTCAAGGTTATTTTTTTTTTTTGCAAACTTTGTTGGGCTTAATCAAAGGAACCTTCCAGTCAAATATGATAACTCTACGCCTTTCGGTATTTCAGAAGAGTTGTTTAAATGAAAAGTTGACGGACGCCGCGCTATGGCGTAAGTTCATTTGGCCGTTTGGGCCAGGTGAGCTAAAAAACCAACATGGCAACACAATCATGATTCAAACTCAAATTCCAATAAACTAAAGCAAAATATGAACAAAAGAAAGATTTACATGTAGACTCCTATAAAAAGTACAAGGAGAAGAAGATAAGGTGTCCCAGAAGAGTAAGCATCTTCTGTATCATCGACAACACTTGCGAGGTAAACTTTGTTCAATCCAAATAAGTAATGTCACATTCTCAAATGAGAAGGTATACAACAAGGGAACCCACTGGCAAACTTACGAGCATCAAATATGTCCAGCTTAATGTCACACAAAGAAACAGAATACTTCTCAATGAGATCAATATGGCGGCCATAAAACTTCCCCATAATTTTCACTACATTTTTCAGCATCCAAATGAAATAAGAACTGGAATGATGCAAAAATGCCATGTCTAACCAGACACTCATCCAGGGGAAGGTACAAGCCAATAAGTTAAATATCAAAAATACACTCAATAACATCAATACTTGACTGAATAAGTCAAAAACAAGAATTCAAAACCGAGAATCGGAAAAATAGAAAAGAACAAAGATTTGAACAACCAAAGTGAGAATGAAAATGATATCTTTTTTTTTCATCAATGTGAAATGTATTTAAACACCATTTTGATTCCATTGAATGAGTTGAGAAAAATAATAGTAAAATAAAATCTTCATAGTCCTCACCGAATTTCTCTGAGAGTTGTTGACTAAGTCTGACCACTTGCTTTGTGTGAGCCATCTTCATGTCCATACATGATGGGTCATTCTAGAATGGGCAAGTTATTACATTAATATTATTAAAAGTCATGGAAATTAATGTGTTTTACATAAACATTGCATGAGATTTAAACTTCAAAGAAGTTTTCCTGCTGTAAGTATAGCATATGGTACAATGGTCTGGAATAGAGTTGACCACTGTGTGTGATACAAAGAGTTTTCCTGCTGTAAGTAGTAGCCTATGGTACAATGGTCTGGGATAGAACTGACCACTGTGTGTGGTACAAAGAGTTTTCCTGCTGTAAGTAGTAGCCTACGGTATGATGGTCTGAGATAGGGTTGACTAGGGTATGTGGAAGAATTAGGATTTGCCTCCTTATGTAACTTAGTCTGTGATAGGTTTGGCCACTGAGTGTGGTAGAATGAGGATTTGCCTCGTTATATAGCTTAGTCTGTGATAGGTTTGGCCACTGTGTGTGGTAGAATGAGGATTTGCCTCGTTATATAGCTTAGTCTGTGATAGCTTTGGCCACTGTGTGTGGTAGAATGAGGATTTGCCTCCTTATGTAGCTTAGTCTGTGATAGGTTTGGCCACTGTGTGTGGTAGAATGAGGATTTGCCTCGTTATATAGCTTAGTCTGTGATAGCTTTGGCCACTGTGTGTGGTAGAATGAGGATTTGCCTCCTTATGTAGCTTAGTCCGTGATAGGTTTGGCCACTGTGTGGTAGTATGAGGATTTGCCTCCTTATGTAGCTTAGTCTGTGATAGCTTTGGCCACTGTGTGTGGTAGAATGAGGATTTGCCTCCTTATGTAGCTTAGTCTGTGATAGGTTTGGCCACTGTGTGTGGTAGAATGAGGATTTGCCTCCTTATATAGCTTAGTCTGTGATAGGTTTGGCCACTGTGTGTGGTAGAATGAGGATTTGCCTCGTTATATAGCTTAGTCTGTGATAGGTTTGGCCGCTGTGTGTGGTAGAATGAGGATTTGCCTCGTTATATAGCTTAGTCTGTGATAGGTTTGGCCGCTGTGTGTGGTAGAATGAGGATTTGCCTCCTTATGTAGCTTAGTCTGTGATAGGTTTGGCCACTGTGTGTGGTAGAATGAGGATTTGCCTCCTTATGTAGCTTAGTCTGTGATAGCTATGGCCACTGTGTGTGGTAGAATGAGGATTTGCCTCGTTATATAGCTTAGTCTGTGATAGCTATGGCCACTGTGTGTGGTAGAATGAGGATTTGCCTCGTTATATAGCTTAGTCTGTGATAGCTTTGGCCACTGAGTGTGGTAGAATGAGGATTTGCCTCTTTGGCCTCTGTGTGTGGTAGAATGAGGATTTGGGCCACTGTGTGTGGTAGAATGAGGATTTGCCTCGTTATATAGCTTAGTCTGTGATAGCTTTGGCCACTGAGTGTGGTAGAATGAGGATTTGCCTCGTTATATAGCTTAGTCTGTGATAGCTTTGGCCACTGTGTGTGGTAGAATGAGGATTTGCCTCTTTATGTAGCTTAGTCTGTGATAGCTATGGCCACTGTGTGTGGTAGAATGAGGATTTGCCTCGTTATATAGCTTAGTCTGTGATAGGTTTGGCCACTGTGTGTGGTAGAATGAGGATTTGCCTCCTTATGTAGCTTAGTCTGTGATAGGTTTGGCCACTGTGTGTGGTAGAATGAGGAGGTTATATAGCCTGGCCCTGTGTGTGGTTATGTTATATAGCTTAGTCTGTGTGTGGTAGAATGAGGATTTGCCTCGTTATATAGCTTAGTCTGTGATAGGTTTGGCCACTGTGTGTGGTAGAATGAGGATTTGCCTCCTTATGTAGCTTAGTCTGTGATAGGTTTGGCCACTGTGTTTTCTCGCTGTATGTAGCATGGTTTATGGTAAGTTTGAACAGTATATATCCCTGACTTACTGGTATCCAGGTAAGAGAAGCTATCCAACACATGGTTGTCAAGTCTTGAGGGTCAAGGTCTCCAGCATCTAAAACAGTAATGTCATATGACATTGGCAAAGGTCACTAAGTATCAAGCCCAAAAGTAAGACTATTTTAAAACCCAGAATTAGTAAGAAAGTCAATAAATACTGAAGACAAAGATATTTGATTGGAATAGGTTGTGTTATTGATAAATAAAAATCCTTTATACATATTAACTAGTTGTCAACAAAGAAAACGAAATATTGATAGAACAAGAGATCCCACAGGGATCTTAGCATTTGATCATTTGATCTCTATTATTCTTTCAAAATCCAAAATGGTAACTCGTTGGCTACTTTCTTTTCTGATTGGTCTCAAAATCAAATAAGTACAGGTAATGATAAAAGGAAACTTAAATATAAAATTCCAGCGAGATCTGTGCGCGAATATAAAGAAATAGGGATAGCAAAATTTGTTATGGAACACAGATCTTAGACGTAAGGTAATTTGAATAATGAAAGTATTATAACAATTGTGATGCATGTACACAAAATAATACACCTTGCTTCTTACTTTTTTTCTCTTTAATTTACTACAGTAAATAATTAAGTTTTAAAAAGCCAGTCATAAGGAAGAGCTTAGATCTTTGTAATAGAAACTTCTTCATTACCATAAGTACAAAGCAGGGTGGCAAATGTTTGTAAGATTGTTACAAGCATTTGATTGGTGGAATCAGATGACCAATCAGGACACAGTTGCAGGGCAGCGACAGCAGATGAAACTAATTCCTGACATGTTGTCAGAGGCAGCCAGTGTTGGAATGATGTGTATCCCAATCTATGGTGTTATGAAACATAAATTTAACTTAGCTTGGTATTGATTCCATAGTAAAGAATCCGATTGGTTAACATAAACCAAAATCATAGACAACATACCACTAAAGCTTCCAAGTACATTTTCATGTCTAAATTAAAAGATAAGTGTTAAGCAATGATATAGAATCTTTATTGAGTTTTCTAATGATATGATTTATGAAACAAATTTGAAAACTTTCAATTCTATTGAGAAGTTCCAAAAATAATTAAAGATCATTTCTCTCATATGATTGAATTTTCATGTAAAAATTGTAGAAAACTGTTATTTTCACATCAAACTTAGAGCAAAATTTGGCTCTATATGCATATTATTGTGTCATAATGCCATCAATTCTATGAATGTGATGTTATCTTATTATCTCTAATAACTTGCTGCAGTACTACTCACAGTATATTTGTACATCAGATAATTCTTCAGAAGTGTTCACTTTTATCAAAGATTTATCAAAACATTTTTATTCAAAGTCATGATACAGACAAAAAAAAATGAAAATTCAACCGAGAGGACAAAGACAATGTAACACTTCAAAACAGGCATCCAAAAGGGGATGATAACTGACTTACCTCGATATGTTGCGACTCTGTTGAAGGCATGTGATAAGTACCTGAACTAAGGCACACACTCCCGTCATGCTCTCCAAAACCTAGGAAACAAAGTTTCCTGATGTACATACAAATAAGAGCATGATGTGTACTTATTCAATCTTCAATATATCTTGATAAGACCCAAAGTGATCTTGATATTTGACCCCTATTCCTCAATATTGATAAAGTTCATCCTCTCTAATTTTCGAGACTAAATTTTCCAGGTGTGACTGTCCTCATGTATCTTCAGTTATCTAAATAGTCCAAGAAACAATTGAACCATGAACGTTACGGAGAAATTTGACAGGTAACAAGATTACCTTGGCCCCTCCATCTGTCACCATGGATATCAAGAAGGATAATTTACTGTTGATCATCCGTTGACACTTGGTCAGTTTGATACGACCATCCTTATTCATTGTCTCTGCCTTCCTAAAAACAGATAAAACCAGGCATGCAAAATACTTACAGCCATTCTTTCTATACAAAGGATATTCCATGGTTTCAAATGCCAAATCAATTATTCACTCTAAACCAGCAACACATGTTGTATTATGCCAATGATTCGTTTTTACCCTTTGGCAATACCATACAGTGAAAAATGACCCAATGATGTTCTTTCAACCTGAATTTTACAGCTGGTTGTGCCTGTGTTACTTTGAACAATTTTTTTTTTCATTATTATTTTCTTCCGGATTTTTCTGATTTTTCCTTATTTTTGGAAAAAATTACAGGGTAATAAGTTATGGGAAACAGCCATTTTTGTTATAAGATGGCAAAAATATCAATGTAATGATGCACCTCAACATTCCAATCTGTACAATACTGTAGTTCAGTTTCAGTATCTACAATTTGCAACAAACTCCATACCATTCTTAAATACAAAGTCTCTGGTACTGTACCCACATCAGTAGCTCAACACATAAATATACAGCTGGGACTTTGCTCATCTTATACAACAGCAATTAGCAAAACTCTACAAAATGCACTACCATCAAAAGAAGATCCAAGAGTTCCATTCACCCAGATTCCTATGTAAAACACTGCTTAAGATATTGCTAAAAATTGGAATAATTTTTTAACTTTAATAGTGATAAAACACCTTTTGCGTTGTCCATATTGTGATGGCTGGGCATCTTCCTTTCCAGATGTCATTCCTTCAGAAACTTGTTCAACACTATGAATATTGGCTACTTGAAGCATAACAGACTTGACCAATGGTGATACCACAAACTGGAGGAAAGTAAACACGAGAAAATCAGTTATACCATCAAACTTCTAATAAACTTTTAATTTCTTATCATTAATGAAGTGTACAAGACTTGGTGCAACAGCTATTGGATCTTTAGCATTTCTTTTGTCTTACTTTCACTTCATGGTATGAAATTTGAGAATTATCAATCTAGAAATACTTCTTATGAAATAGCAATTACAAATTTAAGTTGTCAGATTTTAAGATGGCCATCTGTCAGCAATTTTGTTTGGCTTTGTTTGTTTTTTTATCAGTCTTAAATCAAGTGGGCATTATAAGGACCAATGGGAATCCACATAGAATTTGGATTTGAGAATTTGAGAAAGATCCATCAACCATTTCTCAAGAAATAGACAATATCTTTCTAAGAAAACATAGATCACAGATGCAGGGTAGATAGCCTAATCTAATGAAAGTGGACTAAAAATATAAAATTCACACTATCTACCATCATCTTTATAAACATAATGAAGGTTTGAATATACACTTATCAAATGAAATAAGAATTTACCTGAAGATTTTGAAGTTGACCACAGTGGTTTAACAGAGTTGAAAACATATTGGTGACCAATGGACTGAAGATACTTCCAGATAGGGTGGACTGAGGAACTTTGTCAAGTATGTAGCTGATCATGTCCGACACCCCTTGCAGTAAACTGGTAGTCTGAAGGGACATCAATCCCTTCATGGTCAGGATCACAGATATCTTGGCTAGGAGGTATTGCATCTGTGACACAGACAGGTTAATGGGCTGCAGGGTGGCCTGATCAGCGTGGATAATTCCCTGGAGCACTAACGCCAGATTGTCCTCTACCTTCATTACCAACCTAACAAAGTAAAGGCTTACAGTCAGCTACCTATCATATCATTGTCATAAAATCAGGATTTAGTCGGAATGTTTGAATATTAATTCATTGATTGTTTGAACTTATCAAAACAAGAAAATGTCTACAAAATATGAATTGTCTTGCTTCTTTGCAAACCAAAATATTATCAGGTGTAGTAATTGATGTAATAATATGTTTGTGTTAGAAAAAAAAGCATGTTTATATTATTTTGAAGAATCTTTATATGTAATAACCTTTAATCACAAAACTATAGAATAAATTTTGTAGTACTCACTTTTTCTCGCCTCCTTTACAACCAGAGCACATCAGGTCTAACACTGCGACTGAGCATGACAGGAAGTAGTCAATGACATTAAGTGTGGGAAGACCACTGTGTTCCAACATCTCCTTTATTATGTGAAATGAACACTGAAGAAGAAATAAGTAAGGTTTAATAATTCCAATATAAAAAAAAATGTCTCTCCCATCCCAGAAACTGAAGTTTTGACAGTTTACTGCACAAGATTTCAAATGATTAAAAGTACTGCAACTTGACAATCAGCAAATAACAGTCATGAATTGACACACCTCCTCACAAAAGTAAACCTGTACTGCAAGTACATTTCAGTGAGTAGTAGTGTTAGCGATAGTGCATGGATAAACTTCTTCTTTGATAAGGTTCAAAGGTCAAAATGTAGATTGGAGTGACTTACTTTTGAAACATGACACACCATCTCACCAAGGTGAAGCCACACCATTGATATGAAGTTCCAGTGACAAATATTGTAGGAGAAAAGAGCCCAGAGATGATAGCAGAAGGCAGGACAGACATAGGGATGGCAAGAGCTAATACAAAACTCAAAACCACCGAATGGAGGACTAGTAATGACACTGATGTTGAGCAGAGTTTAAATATCAAATAGGACAGCATAACCTTGAGGTCAAGGTCACTATGTAACAAATCCACAACTTAAGCACTTACTGATAAAACTATACAAATGTATTTGACATTCTTTTGAAATCATGACACATTGAAAATCATAAGTGCAGATCAAATATTATTGGCATTTATTTTGATTAATTTTGATTTTCACCAGTCACTTCCTAGATTTCAAGACGTCACTAAGGGTACAAAAGCACTGTCTTGTGACATCTCAAGACATCAGGAGTACACAAAGAGTTCATGCATTATTTTCCTCTGCTGTATCAGACTCTTAAATTTGTATTGAAAGATGCTAATCACTTATGTCCTTTGTTCAATTTTGAGGCCAAGGTGATAACATAGTTATCCATTACTTACAGCTTTGAGGTCGAGGTTTCCATTTTCCACAGCCCAGCACATACAGCCCCACACTGCTGGCAATAGGCCATTGGTCACCATCCCCACATCCTCAACCATGTGACCGAGTAACTCTCTGTATAAAGAAAGAAAATCTTATCTTCATCAAAAACTGAAACTGTAAGATTTAGCTCCAAGTTAAAAAATCACACATAACCAATTTACCTGTGCTTAGAACGATTAGAAAGATTATTGGGCATGTAACAAAAGGTTATATAGGCCTGTATCACTCACTTCTTTTTGCAGCTTATAAAGCAAAGAGGTTGATTCTAGTAAAAGCTACTGGATGAATATAATACAGTGCTGTTTGGTTATACATAAGATTTCAATATCTTATGACCTCCTTTAACATTGAAAGTGTGTCCAGGTTTGCATTTGAATACACTTGAAAGTCCTTTATCTAAACATGCTACTCGCCCATTATGCAGATTCTAGGTCTCTAAGCTATCAAGAACAACTTGTTTATCTGAAAAATGTGGTTCCACTGGCAATGGGTCTCACACCACAGTTTAGGCTTAATTACCTTTCAGAAATGTGTAATAAAAACGCCAGACAACACAAGGTCTAAATGAAGCAAAGCCCAAAACAATTACTACATTTTTCAATGGTGCTTATGGAAGCTGTAATTGCAATCATAGTGTTACATTTCATTCTGTATATTTCAATTCCTTTCTGTTAATGTTGCTTATGGAAGTTGAAATTCCTTTCTATTAATGGTGCTTATGGAAGCTGAAATTGCAATCATAGTGTTACATTTCATTCTGTATTTCAATTCCTATCTGACTTACGTGAGATTGACCTGCAGAAGTTCACACATATCAACTGTGCACACCTGTATGGCTGCTGGAGACAGCTTTACATTGGAAGGACTTGACTGCAATAACATATATACTCTAAATATATATATAATATATCACCTACAACATAAACCTTATATACAGTGTTTACAACATCTATCATCCGCAATACTCCACCAGTTAGAATCACTTTCATACTCTGGAACATTTCGTGATAGAATTGAAAGACAAGAGAAGTTACTTGTTTGGCCAAGAGTTAGTTTCAGCAGAAGAAAAAAGAGCAATCACAGAATGCTATAGACCCTTGAATAAAGGAGTGACATCCAATTATAAAGTCAGAACAAAGTACTGTTATTTGACTGAGAGATCTGTTTGATATACATCAAAAGATCTAACTAGTCTTCTCCACAAAATATCAAACATGGACCCTTTGAAATGTTCCAGGGATGTACAGAGCGAAAGTGCTCATTACCCCTGGAGTGTCAAAGATGAACATCTATACATTCTCCATATGCTTACAAAATATTAAAGTATTTTTCCATTGCAAACTGGAAGACCTTACCTGAAGAGGTTTGTTCATTAGTGAGATGTCACAAATTTTATGTGCAGTTGACATGACATCCAAAAAGGCTAGATAGACAAGAAGGGCATCACAAAGCCTTAAATGTAGTTGATGCAATGTCATAAAAGACTAAACAGACAGGTAAAGATATCACAAATCCTTGTCTTGTAGATGTGACAGGACAATAGGGTAGATAAACAATTAGGACAAAATAAATAATAAATGCAGTTGATGTAATGTTATCATAGGTTTGAAAGACTACTTACTAATTTTTTCTGGAAGGTCTGAGTCAGCACTACACTTGACTCCAGTGAAAAGATTCTAATGATCTATAATTAAGATACTCAATGTCTACAACAGAAAACGCCCCAGAACATACCTCAGCAGGATCAACAAGGCTTTGTCGCACATGGTCATCCCTAGCAATGAACCTGGTCAGGGTTTCATTCAAATTTTCATCTGTACTGTACAGTTTCTCATTCAGTTGTACTAGATCTGTAAGAAATTGAGACTTACTAGTCCATACTTAATAGATTAACATAAAAACAATCCCAAGTATCATCACAGCACCCACTATCAATTTATCACATTCTTTATTTTACCATCAGTTAACTTCCAAAATAAATTATAATTCCACTAAATCAGTATTATAGTGGTGGTGTTGTATGTCATACTCACCTCAATCTTTACTAATCACAATATCGTTACAATTCTTCAACAATTTTCAATATCAGTCTTCTGTTAAAAGACAATAAACTAGCTGCCCTGATGTAAAACTTTCTCAAGTTCTAACAGTTCCCATACTTTACCTTAATACAGACACCAAATATGCATTAGATAGAACTCAATTTCTAAATGCATACAACACTGGGGTGTTATCTGCTAGGGTGTGTATCCATGTGAAACTGGGGCCATACCTGTTAAGGGGTGTATACACATGAAACAGGGCGGATATCTGCTAGGGTGTGTATCCATGTGAAACTGGGGCCATACATGTTAAGGGGTGTATACACATGAAACAGGGCTGATATCTGCTAGGGTGTGTATCCATGTGAAACTGGGGCCATACCTGTTAAGGGGTGTATACACATGAAACTGGGCTGATATCTGCTAGGGTGTGTATCCATATGAAATTGGGCCCATACCTGCTAGAGTGTGAATACATATGAAACTGGGCCCATATCTGTTAAGGGGTGTATACACATGAAACAGGGCCCATACCTGCTAGAGTATGAATACATATGAAACTGGGCCCATATCTGTTAAGGGGTGTATACACATGAAACTGGCCCATACCTGCTAGAGTGTGAATACTTATGAAACAGGGCCCATACCTGCTAGAGTGTGAATACATATGAAACAGGGCCCATATCTGTTAAGGGGTGTATACATATGAAACTGGGCCCATACCTGCTAGAGTGAGAAAACATATGAAACAGGGCCCATACCTGCTAGAGTGTGAATACATAATAAACAGGGCCCATACCTGCCAGAGTGTGAATACATATGAAACTGGGCCCATATCTGTGAAGGGGTGTATACACATGAAACTGGGCTGATATCTGCTAGGGTGTGTATCCACATGAAACTGGGCTGATATCTGCTAGAGTTTGTATACATATGAAACATGGCCCATACCTGCTAGAGTATGTATACACATGAAACTGGGCCCATACCTGCTAGAGTGTGAATACACATGAAACTGGGCCCATACCTGCTAGAGTGTGTATCAGATTGGTCAAGAGGCTGTGATAAAAATGGCTGTCCTTCCATTTGACCAGCTGCAGCAAGCTGACCACAACAGCAATACATTTCTCATGCAGATTGATACACTGACTGTAGCTCAGTAGACGCAGCAATTTAGTCAGACACCAAGTTGTGAAGGCTGTAATTCAACAGGTAAACTGTTTTACAAGGCATACTTAATAGTAATGAAATCAATATAGAAGTGAGAGCATGACAAGGGTGCATATTTGATGTGGTAGTTGATGTTTTTTTCTTGATTGTGATATTGTCACATTGAACTTTGTTCACTCTATACTAATATTAGCCATTGTATTATGTCTGATGAAAATTAATTTATTGTTGAAGTTGAAGAGATTTCAAAAGCAATAATGCTTGCCTTCAATTCAACATTTTGAAATTAAAGCTTGTTTGACATGTTCTCATACTAGATTGATATACGCATATGGTATTGAATTTATTTAAAATATGATAGATGATGCTTAAAGGGATATTCTGTCCAAGTCTGGATTACATAAGATGCTTTTAGAGAAAATTGTACGAGAGCATCTACTTATATTCATATGGCAATTGCATGACTTGTTTTTCCCCAAAAAATCAACTTTTGCTATTTATTTGAGGAAATTCTATTTAGGTCTTGCTAGATCTGCTTACAAATGTTCATGCTGCACTGATGATGTCACAACAGGTTTGCGCCTGCATAATACACTGTAAACATTGTGGTTTTGTTTTTGCAGCCTCGCTTTTAAAAATGATCACATGATAAACGCGCTATATTTACACATTCTAATTTTACACTGGTCACTCTACACTAATTGCGCCTGTCCAAGGTGACCACAGGAAGGACTTTTAACACTTATAATAATTTGAATAGTCATAAGAGATACATAAAAAAAACCGAAGCAGTAAGATATCTTTGAAACTTGGGTGGAGCATCCCTTTAAGCAGAAAAACAAGTATAAAAGAATACTGATGGGACACTTTATAGCCATGACACTAACTAAACAAATTATGGCATCATTACAATGCATAATGGTAAATTGATAAATATGATGTTTGTAAGTCATATCAAGTTCAGGACAGGTTACAGTGGATATATACAAAGGGAAGTAACCCAACAAATGATTCTCAGGAACTTGGAAGAAACCATAGAAAGTCGTATACAAAAAAGTATGAACCCTGAAAAGTACTGATCACAATTGTGACCTCATTCCCTTTGAAAAATACTTTTTCTGGCTTTTTAATAGATGTATAATGTCAATCCTATCATGAGAAACTCAAAACAATTTGGAAGGGAGGCCTAATCATATTCTGACAAATACCGTATGAAAGGTTTTCTTCATTGCCAGGTGGGGAAGGTTGTTGAGAATGGCCATGAACTTCATCTGATGGAGGACTTCCAGGCACATACAGGAACATATCCGAGTGTGCATCAACCAACCATCGAAACCACTGGAGCATCATGAAGCATTCACTTGATTCATCGGCACACTGTTGTAATGACTCTCCAACTGATCACAAAAGAAACAGAGTCAGTTACACCTTTGACAAAACCTTAAGCGGGTCAGGATGCGAAGTAGATTTTTTGCCAGAACCACGCTAAGTCTAGTAAATTTGAATATTTGACTATCTTGGAATTATCTGCTGCTTCAGTGATTTGTATAATGTTTTTCAGGTAGGTATAGGATTTGTTTACAAAAAGTCTTAAAAAGTGAGGATGAGTCCTTGTAGGAAAAGCACCAATCCAGATCTAAATTTTTCTGTCCTAAAAACCATTCAGACATAATTATAATCTCTGCTCATGGAACATAGTTGACAAAATATAGAAGAAACAGAAAAAATGAATTATTTCAAAGGTGTGAACTAACTTTTATTGACATCTGTAAGGAAATTCTCCAGTAAATGAGAAAGGAGTGTTCTCAGTTCATAGACAGACTGGCCTCCTCCGCCCTTGTCTCTGGCGCTGAAACATACCAGAAATACATAATCACTCATTACAAACAAGACCTCTATGTTCCCACTGAACTTTGCAGTATTTCCTAGTCAACTGCAAAAAGAATTCACAGTACCAATTAACAAGACTACACTTACTGTTACACTTTAGTTATTTAACTTCATGAGTCTAAGAAATATATTCTTTAATCAATAGGTTGCTTTTAATCAAGGAGGTATTAAATTTTTATCTTGTCTTCAAAGTCTGGATTAATTTGGTTTTACCAATTCCAAAAAATATGCATACTAACCTTTGAAACAGCTCCATTGTTAAAGCAAATTTTTTTCTAGACATATTGTAGCTTCCAATCACTTAATCATGGTCATATTGTCATTCTGAAATGGATTGAGGTTTTGTCAAATCAGGAATTACAAAGAATGACATAAAATTCATCCACAGGAATCTAGTTTTATGTGAATAATGACTCGAAAATAGCAAGAATCCCATAATTAGCATTCTAACAAGTTTATCATCATCTCATATGTAAAAGGTCTGATTCTGCAATGAAATTCATTTTTTGAAGACTTCTAATAATTTTTCTCATTGTTACAACATTGCCATAGTACTTAAGCTATATTTCAGAATCTAATTTGTGATACTTATCACAGTATAGCATTTTTGTCTTCATAGGGAAAGATTTCACCACATACTTTTCTTCTCACACTATTATTATATAACAGTCACCTACTTCTAGCCAAATCTAATATCTGATCATTAACTCTTCAAGGGTGAAGACATGCATTAAATAGAAATGAAGGAAAAAGACTTTATAATCATTTCTATTGTATAGTTAAAACATCAGTATTTATATGGATGAAGTTCTATGCTACGTATAAATATTATTTTGACAATAAATTAGATCCAAAAATTTATTTTGAAATGTTTAAACATCAGTCAATTGTAGAAATGTATCAGGTGATTATAGCATTTTTCAGTTTGAGCAAGTCACGATGACATGACAAAATCAGTTGAGTTGCCAACACTGATATAACTTCAATTTAAACAATCTATGTGATAAAATACCCCAAACTGTCAAAACCCATCCAAAACTACCCAACACTTACCCCAAACTTGTAAGATGTGTCCCAATATGATACATGTAGACAGCATGAAAATGCACATTTGTGTTAAATTTATGTTGTTGTCATAATGGATTAGGATGTGTAGCACTTATCTCCCCTTGATTTTATAAGATCAATTAATAAGTTTACATTAATTGATATGATAAATAATGTTGATCAATTACATTTTGACTCAACTCTATGCATAATAAAGTCAGTTATCTATGTGTGTATCATTAAAATATAAAAATCTAATGTATATTGATTCATTTATTAATATATGTATTATTCAAATTCATTTTTGCAACATTTACACATGATCGATGCACACAATTCCATTCCAACTTTCACAAACCATGTAATATACATGAACCCTATGAATAAATTCTCATCACCTTTAAGTGCTATACAAAGTCACATCCGACAGGATGACATAAACTCAGCACAATTGTTGCAAGTTTTAACGTTATCTTTCAAGTTGTAGGTATTTCCTTGTGCCGATAATTTATTAATCATGAATGTAGAATGACGTTAAGTTTAACTTCTGATTGTTATGCTTTACTTAGTTTTCACTTTTTAACACTGGTTGAGGCTGTGGCAAAATCTAGGAGGCATTTTGTCTCATTATGGGCAAAAATGGTAATCAGGACTGAAACGGTCAGAAGTATATTGCAAATTTGGCTTAAATACGAATTTCATTTGGAAAACCCCTGCTTATAGGTAAGGCGTAATATAATTTCAGCAAGGAATAGTATAAATGTTTCATAGTGACAAGGAACGCTTTAGCTATATTAAATCAATATACTCACGTAGGGGACACGTGAATTATCATTTTCGGATATTTTGTAAACAACTGGTACCGAAGATGTTAAACGATCGCTGACTTATATCATGTTTTGAGGTTGTCATAAGAAAATGGTAATCAAGGCTGATAGAATACAGCATGTTTCTCCTTTACATGTAATACACATGCTACATCATTAGTAAACATAGCTTTCCTACCTTTATTTACAAACACATGCTTCGTCCATTTTATTTCCCGCTTTAGTCTGGGTCCATCCGACGCTTGCTTCAATTTGACAGCTTTCGCAAAAGAAGTTTACGTTTGAGGCGGACCAAACGGTCCCACTCTGCATGATTTTAATTCATTCGCGGAACTATAACTTATAACTGAATAATCTTATTTATCTTTCTACTGCATTGGTACGAAAGTTCAATTGATCTGTCAACATACAGGCAGGTCCATAACTATTGAAGCTGAAACCAGATCGGTTTCTCCAAATAAATGAATAGGGCATTAGACTTGCGGATGACCGAATTTCAAATCAGAAGACTGACAGCAAATTGACTTTCATAAGATAGAGTTTTAGTCAACCCAAGGACTTTAAATTCAAAATCCGTGATTAAACTCAAAATGAAATGACTGGTCTACTTGATCAGTTTAATTATTTTTTCTTAGCTTATAAATCAGAAAACACAAACAGTAGTATACTGTACTGTATGTTTTTATAACGCCAACGATAAAGTTGTCTTGTTTGTACTTCTAGCATAACAGTCTGACAATGCCCGACTTCCTCCCTCCTTTGCTTTGGGCTTACACAAAATCTCAAGTTTTAGGAATTACACAAGGCTGTTAAACAACCGCCTTTGAAGTTCCCTGTGCTTAAATGAAAAATCATTACAATTACGGAATTGCCACAGAATGGCATAAAATCTTTGATTCCATTATCAAGTCTGCGTCATTGTTTGGTGTCGGATTCCTTAACCTTGTAAACGAACCGGAAGTGAAAGTTGATATGTTGCACGTGTTAGCGCGAGATTTTGAGATCGAGAGTGCTTGTAGACCCAGTCGTTCGTAGGCCAACGGAGCGAATACAAAATACAAGGTATAGGACCTACTAGAACTGGTAAAAGACATGTAAACTATTTAAGTTATTTCCGTAGAACTTTGAATGTTTCAAGTCAAAATTGTGATTAGCAGAGGATGAAAAAGGATTTTCAGCCAACTTCTGGAATAAATTCCCTTTGCCATGGACATTCATATTCAGGGTTAAAAGAAGTGTGTATAACATATTAATACAGACTGACATGACCAAAAAATATTCTTTCAGAGGGGTATGATATATTGGTACTGAACAAGCTGTATAAAACTGAAGGTTCCATGTGCGACACCTTGTGGACAAGACGTGAAGACCTTTGGTTTGATCCTTTGATGTACATCAAACGAATCGGGTCGCATAACAGCATATTGAAATGGCTTTGAAGTTGGGTATTGCTCCTTTGCTATCTTCAAAAGGGGCGTATCAGCCTGTGAAATGTAAATGTTAACTTCCAGGGCTTAGTCTTATCAGAGACGTATATATATATATATACGTCTCTAGTCTTATGTAGATGATGCATTTGTTTATCTGAAGAGCAGTTAGCATTCTACTGTTTTAGTGCATCGTCAACTAGATATCTGGGGTTTGATTCCCGAAATGGATGTGAAAAGGTATGGGGTCACCTGCTCGACATATGAGTTTTCCCCAGGTAATCCAGTTTCCTCCCACACTTGCAAACTTCCATCCGAGCCAACAAGAGTAATTAATATAAGTTGAAAAAACTTGCTTCGCAATTGTTGTAAAATAAATAAAATCTATTATGATTATATGGAGCAAGAGAATGTTAAAATTTCACATTTTTTTTGTTTGTTTTTGACATGTGGAAGACTAGTTAGGCTACAAACGTATTCAGCTGATTATTTCTTAAAATTTACCTTTGTTATCAATTCTATCTTTTTTTTACCCAGTCCTTTGCAGACCATTGAAAAATTACGTGATAAAACATCACACGATTACATAAAAGAATTCTTTGAAGAAGTGTAACCAGGGCTCTCACACCCCATTTTGGGACTGGGGCCCGGGGCCCTTAGAATTGGGAAAAATAATGGTGTTTTAAAAAGATATTATTTTGCATTGGGAATAGGGCCGAATATCTGCCCCAAATCTGGCAGATCCGAGAGCCCTGGTAACAGTAATAACTTACTACAACACCAACCTCATTATTAACACAATTAGTGCCAAACTGGGAAATAGTAAGAATTTTCCTATGACCATGATGGCATTTATTTTCCAATGCAAAAAATAAAAATATGATCAGGACTCTTGAAAGAATCCCATTGGGATATCTTGATTTCAATATTTGGATATGCATATTGCCAATTTAAATCAGAATGTGCTTATGATTATGTGTGTATATTGCTTTTAATTGGTATTTCTTGCAACTGTACATAAAATAAATTGACATTGCATATGGAGAAAAAATACATGGTATGATGTCATCTATTGATAAAATAACTTAGAGGGGATTAAAGTGTTCAAACACATTCTGCATGCTTGAGGTTTGGGCAAGGTGTGATTTCACTGTTATCAAGGGGAGGACGGGTAGGTGTTTTGTTCGTGTACATGACGGCAGATAGAGTTAATGCCCAACTCCAGTGGTATGAGAGATAACAGATAGTCCAAAGTGCAGTCCTTACTCATAATATAAACAGTATACTACAGGACCTTTACTAGGGCAATGACCAGAGTGATTGGAAATGACCACTGGTCAAAGCACATTGATGAAGAAATGTTTATGGACGTGTTCAGACTTCACCACTTCCATATTAGATATTGAGTTGGTTTGAAAGCTGTAGAGACCAGTACATATACTGTGACAACATATAAAGATTTAGATATTTAATTACGCATCAAATTTCTTCAAAAGTAACTGGAACCTGGCACACACTTTCTATGGATGTTTCAAGCTAAGGTGGATATACAGCAAAGAGGATTTTAAAAATATTTCATTGGTAAGGTTAGTATCTAGATATTTATAGAAGTACGCAAGAAATTTCAGAAGATCATCAGTATAATTCATAAATTTAATTGACAGTTTAGAAGTAAAACGTCTTAATCAGATAGCATGATACCTAGATTAGGAAATGTCTAGTTGACTGACTTTTAATGGGAACTGTCAGCTTAGCAGCATTGAATGAGAATTGGACTTAGAATGGGAAATTTGTTAAATACGTTAAATGAGAGTTGGACTTAGAGTGTGATATTTGGGTTTTTTTTGTCAGAATCATCAGATGAGAATTGGACATGGAATGAAAAGTCTGTGAAAGTCTGATAAGGGAATGAATGAGTTCAAAATAGAAATGATTGAATTTAATAGCAACATCAAAGGAGAGATAGATCTAGGATTTGAACTGGCAAACATTAAATATGATTTCAATAGTGTCAGACATGAAGTGAGTGACGTAACGACATTAAGAATCATATGAGTGTTAAACCTAAAATGACCGTCAAATGTGCCAACCCTCCCTTCTGTACTTAGGACAGAAAGATGACTTCTTTTAAACTATTAGGAATTTGGAAACCGTAAATAGTTGTCAAAAGGAGGTCTTAGCACAGGGCTCTCGATCTGCAAGATTTGGGGACAAATCTCAATGCAAAATAGTATCTTTTTTTCCAAATTTAGACCCCAAGTTTTCCCAATTCTAAGGAAAACGCTGCTATTTTCCCCAATTCTAAGGGCTCCAGGCCCCGGGCACCCGTCCCAAAATGGGGTGTGAGAGCCCTGTAGCAGTTGTCCCATTTATGCTAGTTCATGTCAATTAAATTTTGCACATGTCTATATATTTATATACATCTACCAAAAGATATATTTACTAACCATCTATACAACACATATATATAATATATAGGTATCTGTTTCTTTATTATTTACCATTTAGCCTTGATTACTTTTGATTAATGTATACAGTTAATCATTACCAAGTTTCAGATGAAGTAATTGTGTTCATAAATTATAACTTCAATTCACACCACAAAAGCAAGACGTGTATACATATGTACATATAATGGGGTGAAGAAAAGTGAGTATGATGTACATGGCATGATACATAACTACACCCTTGTTTACAGGGTACTGTCATACTGGCAATGTTATTGTTTCCACTAAATTTTGTGTCTTTATACCTATTGTTCATGACGTTGCCAGTTTATGTTGTTAAATGACATCACTGATCTATGTTGTTTATGTCCATATTCATAACGACACAATTAGTCACTGTTGCTCTGATGATGAGTCACTTAGACCTGAAATATGTAAGCAATATGTGGCACAAATAAATTGTGTATTGGATCGGAACTGGTCGTGTTGTGCTCACTCCTTATGGTTACATGACATGACAAAGTTTTACAATCATCATGATCTCATTAGACAACATTTTTTTTATTGTACAATATTAAGCTAGACGTGTTTGATGTTTCTTAGTCTACCTGTTGGTTCCATTGTTGTTTACCTTCTCATTTGGGAATGTGACATTATCTACTTGAATTTACCAAAAATTATATTGTAGGTGTGGTTGATGAAGCAGAATACATTTACTGTTCAGGAACACTTTATCTTATTCTCCTTGTACTTTTTCAGGAGTCTCTGTGTGAATATTTCTTTTGTACATAGCTTGCCCTAGTTTTATTGACTTTAATTAATTCTGTTGACATGTTGGAATTTTCTTCATTGCTTGTGAATCTGTTTTTCCATTCACATTTTGACATCTTGGGAAAGTCGTTTGAATGGTACGGGTTGTGAAACAAACAAAAAATAATAACAAAGGATATATATAACCATTGGAATGAGATAAAATAGAAATTCTGCAAGTACATGTACACATTTATATTTGCAGTCATTCAAACTGGAGTAAGAGGAAGTATAACTAAAAATGGCTGACGTGGATACTTTGCCTTCTGCAGGCGTGGAAGAAGTGGAGTAGGTATTCAACATTGATAACATATAAGTATCATCCTGGTCACTTACATATATGATATAGTCAGGCTGAGACAGCTAATATGAATTCAAACTTCACTTACCATAAATATGCTAACAAGATATAAAACAGATGGATCCAGCTAAATTTTATGCTAGAGAACTTTAAACTAATTTGATGAAGTGACTAAAGTTGCAAATATTTTACTGCATGAAATCAGAATATGAGAAATGAATACTCTAACTATGAGCCAACATAACAGCAACAGACGCTGGTTTTATGAATAAATTTACTACATCATCGTAGCTGTAGATCTATACAGAGCATATTTGTTATATAACTTGGGTGTATATTATAGTATAAATGTACACGATTCTAATCTTTGTTGAAATGTTTTCAGGAAACAAAGAAATGTGCATATGAAATTATTTCACATTTTCGTGAGAGAAAAAATCTTTTACTGAATATTTTTATTATCAAATAAGTGGTATGAAGAACTGTATCACTTGTAATCTTACTGATTCAAGTTCACTACAGTGTGTTTTGGTAATAGATGTTTGTTTTGATGCGGTATTGTAGAGTCCAGATTGAAGAAATCAAACCTTTTGAAAACAACAATTTATCACCGCCACCATCTGAGCCAATCGGAGGTAATGTCAAAATCATCAATGACAAGGATGCAGATGTCGGGAAGGGAGAGATATTTGTTAATGGTAATGAGAAAGGCAATGTTTCAAGTACCACCAACGGTGACATTAAAGTCAATGGTAATGCTAGTGATGAAGTTATTATCACTAATGAAGAGGTCAAGGTCAAGAATACCACTCCTATAGAGGTCAAGGCCAATGGTTCTTCTAATGGAAAAATAACCGTCAATGGATCTGCACCAAAACGAAGCAGTAAGTTGGAACTGTTATTTTTTTTTATCTCACTTGGCCGGAGTGGACATGTGAGCTTAGGGCATGATGCAGTGTCAGTCAGCCATCCATCAATTTTTTCTACCAATTTGCAGCTGGTCATAAATAACTGCGAATTTAATGGAGGATATAAAAATAGAAAGGGAAAATCCTTCTTCTGTTGGGATAAAGGTATATGGACCAACTTCGTTCAGGAGCATTCTTCAGGAAGAAAAATACAAATTTGTAAATTGGGGAAGGAGAGGGGCTCCAATAGAGGAAATGAGAGTAAATATATAAGTTCTTTCTTTTTGGGGGAATAAAGAGATTCTGAGAAAATCTGTTCTGAGATATTATTGGATTTAAACGGTTCTATTTGGTGTAAGCCACAGATCTAAACCCCTTGGGACAGAAGAGCAGCGCCATTTAGGGGAAAATAGAAGTAAACCTTTAAAATCCTCCTTCTTCATTATGGATAAAGCAGTAGTGATCAAACCAAACCAGGCATGCAATACAGGCCCTATTTGTTAAAATATTTTAAAAATGTAAGAACTTTAATTTCTTGCATGCTTTGGAAATTTGATTGGTCTGTGATTCATTCAATTCCTGTTAAAACGTATCTGGTATAGTTGTGTATCACAAACATTATTTATAAATTTGAAATTAAAGTTGGAAAAGTTAGACTAAATTCTCATCATAGCTTAGAAAAGAAATGAAAAGAAAACAAATTGACTGATTTGCCAGTCTTATGTATAGCTTTACTTATATTCAGGTATTGATGATCTAATGCCAGCCACATCACAGTTCACAACACAGAGAGATGATGCGGTCAAGCTCCGAATGGACGAAACTGGACCCGGTGCTATGAAACCACAAACTGTTCCAAGTGTTTTCAAAGGCACTGTAGACAAAGCTCCTAATGCTACAGCTCTAGGTATGAACAACGCAGAGAAATATCTATCCCTTCAGCTTAAGTAGTGGGTATGCTAACTAAATAGACACATCCTATTCAGCACCAGGTGTGAGGTGCTGTTTTCTCTTTGTTCAAATAAAATGTACACATAAATTGAACTATGATGAGTCTACGTTTTTTCTGTTAAGCTCATACATGATCTAAGGTTCCAGCACTTTAAACTAAAGGTCCTGCTCATTTCAAAGATTTATTCTGAAACTGGTCCCAACTGTATATTTCTAAGGTACTTTTAGTATCACTATGAGAAATAGATGAGCATTTTGTAAATACAAGTGCATACTGACCCCTGTCTGTCCTGACCATTCTATATTACAGTTTAAATCTTGACCACTCAGTGTTGCATATTTCAATTATGCACCTTTATTACTGTTCATCTTGACCATTCAATACAATATTTCTTATCCACCTGTATTCTATGTCTGTAGGTGTGAAGAGAGATGGAGTGTGGGTAAGATGGACATATAAGCAGTACTATGACGATGTCCGTCGTGTGGCTAAGGCGTTCATCAAGGTAGGTACACAAAAGTATTGATGATACCATTAATATGTAAAGGGAAGGAGGGGTAGGGGAGGGGTACAAGAGGGAGAGAGAGAACTAGGTTGAATTGTACCTGTTGATAAAAGTTTACACAATTATCAAAATGTTAATGTTTTTGCCATAAGGCAATGACAGTGTAGAATCAAGACTAAGTAGGGAAAACCAGCCTAAGGTATATAGACCAAATTTTTTTTTTATGTCTAGATTATCTATGGATTTGAATAATTAGGTTTTAAAAATGTCTGTTAATAGGCACAAGTTGTCTAGAGTAACCTGAACTATACAATAATTATCTGACAAGGTGTCATTGTCCTAAAAATGTGTTGCCTCCTTGGATTATTGATGGAGAAATCTGATGATATAACTTATCCAGAAGGTTTGCAGCATATCCTTCTATTCACAGTAAAAAACAGTGGCCACTTAAAATACATAAAGGAAAAGTTTTAAAATCCCATAAAAACAAACTGAAATATTTTTTTACTAATGTCAGGTCTGCTAAAATTGATATTTGTATTATTTCAATAAAGTTGAATTATTTCATTATTTAATTTAAATTTTGTCATTTGTAGCTTGGCCTGGAACCATACCATGGTGTTGGAATCATTGGATTTAACTCGCCCGAATGGTTTATAGCTGACTTAGGTGCCATATTCGCAGGGTAAGTTTTAAATCCGTTACTAAAAGTGGAATCGAAAGAACACTCAGAAACACTCATATGATTAAAAGATACTTTTACTCTAGTGGAACACTATCTTCCTATTTCAGTTTTCAATGCAAGGGAGATAACTAAAACAGGACGTTTGCAAATCAGGATATTTTTCCGAAACATAGAAACATAGGAGATATGAAGTTTGGTATCCATGTTTATAATTCAAGTAAATTAAAAAAAAAGTTGTGCATGTAAGATCTTTCAAGAGTGTTCTATATCATTTCATGGGGGTGCAAATGTGACCTGTGTTCGTCTATCCGGTTTCATTAGGTTCTATTCAAAATAAAATAGATTTCTTTAATATTTAGACCATAATGTCGTCACATCAATTTACACAACAGTATCGTAACATCAAATTCTACACTTTTTCATGTTCAGATGGTCATCGGTCAAGGTTTAAAGGTCAAATGTCATCATGCATGGGTGTTGAAGACAGACATTTTCTGCTTTTGTCATAAATTGCTGAATTATACCAGTTGCCATCTTGCAATAAATCTGTGTTCAGTCTACTTCACTTCACACTTTGAAGTAAAGTTTACAGTTGCTAGATAAGAAATTGGTAATAATTTGACCCATTTGGCTTCTTATATCATGGTATAACTCATGAAAACATTGGTGTTGTTCTTGCTACCTTACAGCACAGTGTGTGACAAAATTAAGACAGATTAATGGTGAGACTGATTGAGAAAATGTTCTTTATAAAAGAAAAAATTATATTTCTTTGTGTTTGTAATATTCACATCTACTTTTGCAGGGGATTTGCTACAGGTATTTATACCACTAACACTCCAGAGGCTTGTCAGTATGTGGCTGCTGATTGTGAGGCTAATATCTTGGTAGTGGAGAATAATCAACAGCTCCAAAAGATTTTGAAGGTCTGGGACAACCTGCCACACCTCAAGGCTATAGTTCAGTATACAGGGGAGGTGGCTGAGAGGAGGGACAATATCTACTCGGTAAGACCAGAGAGATAGGAAGAATAGAAATTCTTATAACACTGCCAGTAGGAAATTTATGTGGAATGTTTTGATGACTACACTGTCACCTTCATCAGGCCAATGACCTGTGTGAAATATACTTGTACTTATGTATAAAGTGTTGGAAATGGTAATGAATCAAGAGGACTTTTGACTGTACTGTGTAAAACTTTGTACACTAAGGTGGAAAAAAGTCTGATTAATGATGAAATTATAGTGAAAGCAGGTCAAATGGTGATCTTCTATACAATGTACTATCCCAACTACACCAAGAAACATGGTCAAGTTGCACAGTAGTAAAACACTTGCCATTCACCTAGACATCCCTTTTGATTACTCGAGCGTACATGAAATTGTGAAAAGGGCAGTCATTTCCTTACCATCTTGTGCTAGTAAGCTTCATACTGAAGAGAGTGATCATGTAGTCATTGTATTCATTGTGTATCCATTTCAGTGGAGCGAAATGATGGCACTGGCTGAACAAGTCCAGGACTCGGAACTTGAAGAACGACTGCAGCTGCAGGCACCAAACAAGGCCTGCACCCTCATATACACAGTAAGTAGTCTTGTTATTCATTTTCACTTCTGAGGTCAATTTCATTTTCAAATCAAACAAATATCCTAAAATATAATTCATATGATCATATGTTTGTCTATTAATGTGAAAATGATCCAGTTATATTTGAAACCATAAAAATATGAGCAATCAGAAAAAGAAGTCAAGTTTACAGAATAATGGGTTTTATTCACATTTATTTAGGACGAAAGAAAAACTCGCTTTGTTGTATCTTCTTAAATATTTTATACATCTGCATATGTAATAAAGCAAATGACCTCATGCTTATCTTTTTATTCTGCCATTATCTCATTTTGATTAATAATAGTGAGATTCAATTTTTGCCTTGCAGTCAGGAACTACAGGCAACCCCAAGGGAGTGATGCTTAGTCATGATAATGTGAGTCTCATTTATAAGTATTTTAATGCTGTCTCTTGATTATAAGGAAATTTAACAAATACAAATTTTTTTATGCTCTCGATCCTTTTTTGACCAGAGTGGGCAGTGGGAGCATTTAGTGTTACCTTTGTCCATTCTATCATGCTCTTTTGAGAACCGCACAACCGATTTGGTCGATAATACTCCATTTTATCATGACACCCGCAGCTTTTGTTTGAAGTTCTACACCGGATCAAGTTCTCGCTTACAAAGAAATGAGAGCTTTTATGTTTTATAAATATTTTCTAGGACTTGACTTTGGAATTTGGTATGTAAAACTCCTCTTGGAAGTTTTTTTTTATTTACAGAATATACTTAGTGATTAGACAAGTCTTATGTGTTTGTTGAATTAGTGAAAGAATAAATATGATTTATGAACTTATTTGTATCATTTATCTAACAATAGTTCTATCTATTTGTTTATTAATACTGTAAACATTCTTTGTAAAATAATGTCTGACCAACTAAAACGTTCTATAGCTGACATGGACTGCAAAGTACTTCGGACGGCATCAGGGCGCTGTTTTTCAAATGGAAGTGATTGTAAGTTATCTGCCCCTGAGTCATGTAGCTGCACAGATGATTGATCTTCATATCCCAATGTCTTATGGTATGGCTGTGTATTTTGCTGATCGTGATGCACTCAAGGTTTGTGCTGTAATTTTATTTGACAAAACTGTTCTGCTTGTTGTACCAACAAACACACAGTATACAGAACAACATAATGTGATTAAAAATATAAGACTAAGGTAGAGAATTAGAGGAACTAGGTTATGGCCTATGAATGGGTGTCATTATTTTGGAGACAAAATTCAAAAATGAAATTTTTAAGAACATAAAAAAAAATTACATTTGGGAAATTTCCTTGTTGGCATTTGTAATGAATCTTTGATAAATGTTATAATAAATAATATGATTTGTGTAATGTCATAATCAGTAACGAGGATGAATTATAAGAATTATATACTTTGATGTGAGATGGTACAGCAAGGACCTCAGTTATAGCTTTAGTGAAATCTTAGATTAACCTTATAGTGTTTCTTCCCACTACAGTTGACCTGGACTACACAGAGAGTTGGGGAGATTAGTAAGTTGGCTTTCAATGCAGATGTTGGTGTGAGTTATCTCCCCTTGAGCCATGTAGCGGCCCAAATTATTGATCTGTACCTCCCTCTAGTACATGCCATGACTGTGTACTTTGCTCAGGCAGATGCTCTTAAGGTTTGTTGTTCATACTTGGCATGAAAATGGGCAGTGAATCCTATGTTTTTTGTTTAAATTGGCATGCATAATTTATACAGTTGTTGTTTTGGCAATATGTGATTGTTATTAACATTTTGCATGAGTTTCTGGTTTCAACACAAGGCATGGGCAGTTTTTTTACAGGAACCATATATCATTAAACACATTGATGTGTTTTGTATGTTTTTTAGTTTGCATGTGGAATAACTATGTTGATGTACTCACTATTTGTTGCATGCTTGTCAACTTTTGTAAATTACTTAATCATATTTTATGAAATATGTGTCACAAACTGTACGTTTTTTCATGGGAATTATGTATGCTATTTATATCTATAAGATTAACATAATCACCAATTAACATGGTCATGAATTAAAGCTAACATTTATGCCTGGAAAAGGTTATTCAGATTTAAGTTATATATATACCTAGTAGACAAAAAACAAAAACAAAGTTTTTAAAATGTGCCCTGTTGGTAGTTACCCGAATTTCTGTTTTCTTGCTTTCATTCTGAATGATCAAATTAAATTAAGACTTTCTGACAGTTGCTGTTGGTCCTGTGGTGGTATCTGATAGTTATGTTGAAGAATTCTCTTTGGTTGTTTATTTTTCCTTCGTCACCTCCTGCCTTCAATTGTTTATTTTTCCTTCGTCACCTCCTGCCTTCGATTGTTTATTTTTCCTTCGTCACCTCCTGCCTTCGATTGTTTATTTTTCCTTCGTCACCTCCTGCCTTCGATTGTTTATTTTTCCTTCGTCACCTCCTGCCTTCAATTGTTTATTTTTCCTTCATCACCTTCTGTTAAGAAAATGAACTTAGATTGATTTAACAATCATTCATTTGACACTCATAGAAAATTTCCTGGTTGGTTTTGTAGCTGATTCTATGTACATGTTGATCCATGGTGTACAGTTATTTTACAGATGTTTAAGAATTAGAACTTTTGTACAGCTGCGATGATTGGTTCAATATAACGCAACAAATACACAATGTTTAGACACTCTCTATTAAAGTATTTCTCATTACCATAGAAACACCATGAATTTCAAGGAATATTGATGTTTTGCTTTATGAATACTGGTTAGAGTGGATTGATTATGATTCTGTTATTACTAAATATCATTTTCATATGATTCTGGATTTCCTTAAAGCCTTTTATAAGAGGTTTGGCCTTACCACCTTCCTCTCAATTTACTTGGTTTACAGTAGAATTATTTCACAAAAACACTGGAAGATGCAGTAAAGGAAATAAAACATTATTACCTTTCAATGGGTTGACTTGATTTTCAGTAAAAATAATCTACCTAATACAGGGTTCCCTGAAAGACACGTTGAAGGAAGTTCGTCCCACTGCCTTCCTGGGAGTACCCAGAGTATGGGAAAAGTTTGCAGAGAAGATGCAGGAGAAGAGTCAAGAAGTGAAAGGGATCAAAAAAAAGATTGGAGCATGGGCGAAGGGAAAAGGCAAAGAGGGTGTGATGGCAAAAATGGAAAAGTGAGATTTTAGTTTGAAGTTTTTGTTTCTCTGTATATATTGTGTCAGGTTTAAGAAAATTGAATTAAAATCTTTTAAATGGCTCTGAAGAGGGATCAAAACAAATAAAGAATATGAAAAAACAAAAACCAAAATGCTTTGTCAGACACTGAATGAATAAGACACTGATTATATTTAAATGTAATATTTGTTTTGCAGTCGGTCACTTCCATGGTTTTGGGGTTTAGCTAATTCATTATTGTTCCGTCCGATAAAAAAGGAGATGGGGCTTGATCGATGCAGGATCTGTGTGTCTGGAGCAGCTCCCATCATGAAAGACACCCTGGAGTTCTTCTACAGCTTTGACATCACAGTATTGGAGGTGTATGGCATGAGCGAAAGCACTGGTGAGTTATGAGCCCTTGTTTGTTATAAAAGCTAGGTCCGCTTCCATTGTGGTCATGTCCCTTTCCATCTGGATTATGTCTCCCTCCATCTGGGTTATGTGCCCATCTTGGTTATGTCTCCCTCCATCTGGGTTATGTCTCCCTCCATCTGGATTATGTCTCCCTCAATCTGGGTTATTTCCCCCTCCATCTGGATTATGTCTCCCTCCATCTGGGTTATGTCTCCCTCCATCTGGATTATGTCTCCCTCCATCTTGGTTATGTCTCCCTCCATCTGGATTATGTCTCCCTCCATCTCTGGGTTATGTCTCCCTCCATCTCTAGGTTATGTCTCCCTCCATCTGGGTTATGTCTCACTCCATCTGGGTTATGTCTCCCTCCATCTGGATTATGTGCCCATTTTGGCTATGTCTCCCTCCATCTCTGGGTTATGTCTCCCTCCATCTGGGTTATGTCTCCCTCCATCTGGATTATGTCTCCCTCCATCTGGATTATGTGCCCATTTGGGTTATGTCTCCCTCCATCTGGGCTATGTCTCCCTCCATCTGGGTTATGTCTCCCTCCATCTGGATTGTCTCCCTCCATCTGGATTATGTGCCCATTTGGGTTATGTCTCCCTCCATCTGGGCTATGTCTCTCTCCATCTGGGTTATGTCTCCCTCCATCTGGATTATGTGCCCATCTGGGTTATGTCTCCCTCCATCTGGATTATATCTCTCTCCATCTGGATTATGTCTCCCTCCGTCTGGATTATATCTCTCTCCATCTGGATTATGTCTCCCTCCATCTTGGTTATGTCTCCCACCATCTGGGTTATGTCTCCCACCATCTGGGTTATGTCCAGCTCAATCTGGCTTATGTTCCCTGCCACCTAAGTTATGACCCTTTCAGTCTGGGTTATGTCTCTTTCCATCTGAACTGAGTCCCTCACCAACTGGTTTGTGTTCCAATCTTTCTGGATAATGTCCCCCCTCCATCTGGGTTATATCTTCCTCCATGTCGGTAATGTCCACATCCATCTGGGCTTTGTCCCTCCTCCATCTTGGTTGTGACCCAATCCGTCTGGGTCATGTCCCCCAGTCTTGCAATGTCTCCATCAGTTGGTCATTTCCCCATCTATCTAGGCTCTGTCCTCCTCCATTTGGGTTATGTCCCCTTTCGACCTGGGTTGTCTCCAGTTATATTCCCTTATGTCTAAGATCTCTTCTCTTACATTAGAGTTTTGTCTCTCTTATTTCTCAGATACATCATCCATATGTTTTCCCCCTTTACATACAAATTTCCTTTCCTTATTCTCCTTTATACGCCTTATGTCTCCTTACATTTGACCTCTGTCCTTTTGAATCAAGGCTTTATTTACGGCTAATTTGAACTTGAATTATATTACTGTTAATATATCTCCCATAATATTTCTTTTTGTATTGGATGTCTGTGATCTTACCTTTATATTACATCCTATTACTATTGCAATTTTGCCGTTAGCATTGAGTTATTTCAACTTACATTTCATCCTCCTGTTTTTTAGTTATGTACAGTCCTAATCTGAGTTATGTCCCCTGATGTATTTGAGTGATTTGACAAGATATCAAAGTTTTTTGATGTGGTGAATACTTGCATTTTCCTATAGGTCCTCACACTATAGGGACTAATGATTGCTTCAGGCTGAGCAGTGTTGGCAAAGAAATACCAGGGGTACACACCAAACTGGCTGACAAGGATGATGAAGGAAATGGAGAGGTAGAATGTTTTATACACTTTGCAAAAACATGAGAGTTCTTCTAGTCTTAAGAATAAATGTGTCCATCTGTCTATCTGTGGATGAATGCTGCTCCGTTCTTATTTAACTGTACAGGCGGCCATCTTTTATTTTGAAAGTAAAAGTTTGTTACCGCTATTTCTGAGAAAGTACTGGATGGATCTTTCTCAAATTTCATATACAGGTTCCCTTTGGTCCCTATTTGTGCATTATACCTTTTTGGAATGATCCGAATTCAAGATGGCTGCTTGTCAACCATCTTTTATTTTGAAAGTAAAAGTTTGTTACCGCTATTTCTGAGAAAGTACTGGATGGATCTTTGTCAAATTTCATATGAAGCTTCCCCTTGGTCCTTAGTTGTGCAGTATACCTTTTTTGGACTGATTTGAATTCAAGATGGCCCACAGACGTCCATCTTGGATTTTGAAAGTAAAAGTTTGTTATCACTATTTCTGGGAAAATACTGGATGGATCTTTCTCAAATTTCATATGCAGGTTCCCCTTGGTCCCTAATTGTGCATTTTACCTTTTTTTGGACTGATCCGAAATCAAGATGGCTAACAGGCAGCCATCTTGGATTTTGAGAGTAAAATCTTGTTACTGCTATTTCTGAGGAAGTACTGGATGGATCCTTCTGATATTTCATAGGTATTGGTTTCCCTTGGTCCCTAGTTGTGCATTGTACCTTTTTTGGACTGATTTGAAATCAAGGTGGCCCACAGGCAGCCATCTTGGATGTCAACAGTAATACAGTAGTTTGTTATGGCTGTGACAGGATCCTTCTCAAATTTCATATTTAGCTTCCTCTTGGTACCTAGTTAAGCATTGTCCCATATTTAGAATGATCTGAAAAACAAAATGGCCTATAGGCCTCCATCTTGGATTTGAACAGCGAGTAATTGTTTTATGGCTATTTCTTACCCAGATGATCAGTCATTCTCAAGTATCAGATTTTCTAAATTAAGTAAACATTGATAAATACACTGTTCAGGGTATGTATACTAAACCATGCAATGAATTGAGTTAATGGCATATGTGTTGACACATGAGAAGTAACAGAAGAATTGATTTATTAAAAATGTCAATAATTCCTGATATTTAAGTGTTGGTGTTACAAAAACATTAATGTAATAAAATAAAATATAAAAATTTAAAAAAAAAAATATAGTTTTAAAAAACTTTGAACTTTTATTATACTTGTTGCGCTCTTGTACATGTGCATCATTTCATCATCATCATCATCATCATCATCATCATCATCATCATCATCATCATCATCATCATCATCATCATCATCATCATCATCATCATCATCATCATCATCATCATCATCATCATCATCATCATCATCATCATCATCATCATCATCATCATCATCATCATCATCATCATCATCATCATCATCATCACCATCATCATCATCATCACCATCATCATCCATTTTGAATTTAATAAGTATACAACTTAATAAAGGCTGTTCATTTTATCACTATATCCCTATAAAAATATCTTGTGCCATCATTGAGTACATTCAATGAAGACCAGTTCATGAACATTTACAACACAAAAACAAAAAAATAAACAAATCTTCAAGAACTGAAAACAGATCCTCAAATGGTGGGCGCCAAGATCCCTCTGGGATCTCTTATTTTGACTTGGATGGTATTTAGAGATACACCCCTTTTAAGCATCCACTGATTAATATGTTTTTATGTAGAAAATGGATATATTGAGTTAGTCACATCCTTTAAGAATGTTGTATGTATTGATATGTAATTTTACCTATTATATGTATGCAGGCTGTCAACCGATTCCTATATTCCTATATTTCCCTATATTCTGGTTCAAAAACCAATATTTTGAAAGACCTTTTTCCTGTATTTTTCTATTTTTTGGCTTCTTTATTTGAGAGAATTCTTAAGTCTTTAACAGCATCACCAGCCACCAGAAAATGTTTCAGTGCATCTCTTTAACACCTGTATGGGCACCTTGCAAGGCAGTACAAAGGATATTGGCCTTTTAGGTGCTCATCCAAATGATGATGATGATGATGATGATGATGATGATGAGCTATGCAGCAGCTCTTTGCCTGGATTGTGATGTTGTTGTAGTTTTTAATCATTGATTATTATAGAAAAAGTAAGTGAAGGTAAAGATTGTTAGTATAAATGCCTTTGGATGAAATGATTTTCGTTTGGAAAACTCCTATATGTTGCTTCAAAACTAGCAAAAACCTGCTATATTTGTTGAAAAAATATTCCTATATTCTTCTGATATTTTGAAGAAGACGTGGTTGACAGCCTGTGCATGTTTCCAATCTCAATACATACATAAATACTTAGATATGCTTTCTATAGGCTGGCAATAAACATAACAAATTCATAAAAAATGCTTAAATTAAATTTAAAGATTTTATGATATAAAGTTTGGTTGTAAGTTAGATGTGGTAATGAGTACAAACATAAGGTGAAAAAAATCAACAACTTATGGAATTAGGACATCTCCAACATAGTTCAGGTAAACGATTTACAGCCAAACGTGTCTACAACTGCCGCTCAACTAAACAGAAAAAATAAGTTTAATTTTGTACCACTGTATGGTCACACGGCCAAAGCTAATCCTGATACAGAAGTTGTTATAAATTTCTACTTGAAGATCTTGTGATAATTTTCATCTTTCTGTGTTAGATATGTATGCAAGGTCGGCATGTATTCATGGGTTACTTGAACAATGCTGAAAAGAATGAAGAGGCTTTTGACTCTGATGGCTGGTTACAATCTGGTGACATCGGCAAAAAGGACAAAGACAACTTTCTCTATATTACTGGGCGTAAAAAGGGTAACTCATTTTAATTCATGTTAGGGAAGATGGTGGAAAGAGGAATTATTTAATATCTTCAAATATGATATTTAAAGCTCAAATAATTTCTGTATGTTTTGAATGTCAAATTAAACACATTTCAAAAGATTAATGCAGTAGAAACTTAGAACTTCTCTAGTTGGAAGAAGTTTCAATACATCACTGTGCCTGGAATAACAACAGCTTCTCATGTTAGATTTTTTCGATGTGTCAGTGTGTCAGAAATTTAAGAAATTTCTATTTAGATCTGAAGTTATTCAGTAAATCAGTATATTGGAAATTTAGAACTTTTCATGTTGTACAGAAGATTTTTGATAAATTATTCTGTCATAAATTTAGTAATTTTTTTATGTCGGACTAAAAATTTTTCAATAAATCATTATATCAAAATTTTAAATCTTTTCAGGTTGGACTTAAGATTTTCCAGACAGCAATATATTAGAATTGAAAACCAATCATGTCAAACTGCTTTAGTTCTATAATTGACCTTTTCTTGCTTCCTTAGAGCTGATCATCACGGCTGGGGGAGAGAATGTGGCACCAGTACCAGTAGAAGACATTGTTAAGGAGCAGTTGCCTGTCATTTCTAATTGTATGCTTATTGGGGACAAACGCAAGTTTCTGTCGATGTTGATCACATTAAAGGTAGGTGTAGGAAAAATTTACCCACCATTTTGAGTGGTTGGGTTGCACAGTGACAACACACTCACTTTTATTTAAATGTCTGGAGTTTGATTCCCTAAGGCGACGTGAAAAGGGGTTTTCACCTGGTAATCCAGTTTCCTACCATAGTAAGAACCCTCGCGCACTTCCATCAAGGCAGCAAAGAGTGATATGATATGTTTTTACTTTGTTCCACAATTGTTGAAGAAAATGAACAAAGTTAAAGGAAAAATCTAGAAAAGAAATTTGCACCTCAGTTGTTGGCTCATATTTCACATAGAGAAATTACTGAGACTAAATATAAAAGTATATTGTTGTTCTTGTAGTTTTAAGCAGAAACAGGAAATCCTTTGATTTGAAAAAATTTGGCCCTATTGTTACAGTATCTAATTCTGAATTTTTACTGAAATGTGCTATTTAATTTTGTTTCTGTTGTATGATCCTGACTAAAAAGATGACATTTTCATATATTTGACATGTTAATGTGAAATGTTTGCCACTCATAAAAGTTTCATCCTCCACATATACATACAGGTATCAAATGTCAGTATCTTTCGGATGTTGGGAATATTTGACACCTTATGAAATCTTAAACAACTTGTAATTGTGCACAAGAAATCATTTTCTCACAACAAAAACTGTTCTACAATTCAAAATACCCACTTACCTAAAATGCGAAATCAGATACAAGGTAAACAAAACTGGATTTTCTTAATTCTGTTTTTGTTTGAAACTATCAGTTTTTATAAATGAATGTAAAAACAACATAAACCATGGAAAAAGCTACTGATGGTAATGTTGAGGCCTTTGTTGTGTTTTAGGTGACTGTTGATCCTGACTCAGGGGAACCAACAGATAATCTCACTAGAGAAGCCAAACAGTGGTGCCAATCTGTGGGAAGTGAATCTACAAAGTTGTCTGACATTATAAATGATAAAGATGCTGTTGTCCTTAACGCAATTCAGGCTGGTATCGATCGCGCTAACAACAAAGCTGTCTCCCGCGCGGCAAGGATTGCTAAATGGTCTGTCCTACCCCAAGATTTTTCTATTCCTGGAGGTGAACTTGGTAGGTTAAAAAATGACAGTATGTGTCAGTTTGAATATTTAAGTGAAAATTTGAAAAATAAAGAATAACTGTTGATCATTTCTCCCCCTTAAATAATTTACTACCGCTCCGAGTACCATCTTTTAATTTGTCAACCCCTACAAAGCTTCAAATTGTTTTTTCAAAATAATAATAAGATAAAATACCAGTCTGAAAGATACCTGATTGTGCGCAGTACAATTAACGGTGCTGGTTTTTCTATATGTGTTAACGAAAATTATGGTCATATGTCAACAACACTACCTAATGGCCAACAAGATATGAGAATATTATGGATGGATATTGACACCTGTATTAAGATTAAGAGTAATCAAACACTCTGCAAGATTTGCGTCATTACAACTTTGAAACTTCCGCCTATTATGATCCATCTCCATAGCTCCCCAGCTGTGTATTGATAGGGTTTTGATAGGCACAGAGATTTAAATAAATAAGATTTTCTAGTGTCCAGAACTTGACACAGCCTCAATTTAAACTAAACGATGATCTTTCTTTAATTGGGGCACTGTTTTTCCACCTGCTGCACATATTGTCAGACATTGCATTCTATATGTAAATCTTGCTGGCTGTTTTTATCTAGTCATATTTCATTGTGTTCAAAACTGTTTTCAGGACCAACTTTGAAACTACGAAGACCAATTGTGAGCAAGATCTACCACAAAACCATTGAATCCTTTTATGCTGAGACATGATCGCTCCAAAATTAACACTACTGATTGGATGACTTGGACAAGACAAACATTCTTCATTGTGGATATAACTTTACAGATATATTGTGAACAGAAAAAAAAGGAAAACTTCTGATGGTTTACAGAAAATGATGCATTCCTGATTATGAAAAGAAGACACATTCCTGGTTTCAAACAGGCAAAATGTATGTCTGTGTATGTTTGTCTAGAAGTACAAGGTGAACGTCATTTTGCAGTGTTTTATGTATCAGTTTATTGGTTGTGTTCAAAAATTGAAATTTAAACACAAAGAATATACACAAGACATGGATCTATGATTTCTCTTAGGGGTTGATTCAGTCTTTGTAATGTTTAATTCATAATCCTGACATCTTGCTTGAAAAATGAAATTGTATACATTTATAACAAACTTCAGTCCCAGTTTTAAAAAGAGGATCCAGCTGAATCCTGATCCCCTGGATCCAACTCCGGCACTGGGTATATTTCATCATTTATATCATTATATATTTGTTGACAGCATAAGATCTGCTTTACGGTGATTCTAGTTAAATACTTCATGGTGATCTATTATGAATGATAATCTTATACATGGATAAATGTCTTTTGTACTTGGATTAACTTTCATCGCTCTTTAATCAAGCCTCTCTACAGTTAACACAATATTATACAAAATATGTTTCTTAAACACTCTTTATCTTACAAAGATTCAGAAAATTTCCCCTGAGGTAAGCAAATGAAACTGAAGTTGTGGAAAAAAATTAGTTTAAGGAAATTTTAATCAATTTCAGAAACATTTCAATTTCTATGATTTAAATTTTAAAAAAAAAAGGTTAAAAATTTTCCTTCACTTCTGAAAAGTTTGGTTAACCAGTGATTGTGCTACTTGCAACCTATATTAAAAAGTGTTTTCATAGTTTGCTGCCACTGTATGGTAAGTAGAAGCATGTGCATGGATGTTATATGTTAAGATGATCAAATAAAATGCCCAGAGTTTGTTGGAGTTATGCCCCTTCGCATGTGTCATCTGTAGAAAAACTTTGTATTATTCAGTAAAGCAAAATATGCTACATGTACAAATATTTTCATCCACATAGCCTTATACAATGTATTTTTAGTGTTGATTTGTTGCCACACAATAAACAGGTATTCATATGAAATTAGCATGGAGTATTGAAACAAATTAACGTTTTACTATATACCTTGTAACTGACATGAGGAGGAGTTGATTTTGCTATTTAACCCCAAATAATGCAATTTAAAAAATTTTGTCCTTATTTCCTCCTGAAATTGTGTAATGTTATTTTACTTTGTTTACTGCCTGCTCCTTAAAGAATCTCATGGTCATTGAAAATTATGAATGTCATGCATGACTGGGTCACTTAATAAGAAGGCATGTCATCCAATCACATTAGATGTCATTTGCAAAGTACATGAAAAGGATGTTTGAAAAAAAAATAGTATAGAAGTAATTAAAGGCCAATTCCAAAGTTGAACAAAGATGTAGGGCCCAAAGAGATTGATAAATGTTGCACTTTATAAAAGTTTTGGCATTAAAGGGTTACATACATGTAGAGGACAATTTTTTAGGATTTTTTTTTCATTTATAGCTTTTAAACTAGTTTGGAAAAAAACCTTGATCCCTTGAATTATACCAGAATGTGTTTTCTTTTTTCCTTCTTATTTTTTTTTTGTAAAAGCTGAATCATTTTTTAATTCCATAATCAATATCCTATTTATAGAACTCTCCATACACACAGTAAAAATAATTGAGTATCAATGAAGTCTCTCTATTTGTTGAATTCATGGTTAATCTTAATCAATAATTTAATTTGCTCACAAAATGATGAACAGATGAATGTTGACATAAAATTGTAACACCAGAGGTTATTTGAGCAGGATTTAACCATGAAATCAAATAATTCACATTATTGAAAAAACCACAAAATCTTAGCTCAAATGATGTCATAGTAATATAGCCTTAGAAATGAATATGTACACAGAAATCTACATGTATTTTCAATCTCTCATTTTGTCACTAATGCCCTGTCCATTACCATACATGCATGCCCTGATGGAAGTCAGTGCATTCTCCTTAACCCATACACCATTTCATGGCATGAAGAACAATTCATTCATGGTATCGGCATTGACCCCAGAGTCCAATCCTAAGGTAGCATTCTTGACCCCCTCATTTGAAATGGTATTTGTTGCATATAAATAGATGTACTTACATCACAACCAATTAGAAAATTATATGACATTTTGCTGACCATGTGTCACTTTCATCGGACAAATGACCCGTGTAAAGCACTGAGGTATGCAGTGTAGGAAATGATAATAAAATCACTGGACTTAACTGAAGGAGAATCTGTTGTATAATCAGGTGGAAAATTGTGTAATGACATAGGTGGTAACATTACACCATCCCACGAAATTGTTTTAATTTCCACCCACTATTGTAACCATATACATAATTTTATTCTAATTCACTCTGCTCAACCAAACGAAACCATATCAAACTGGATAGGTATAATAGTGTACACTAATTCTACAGTGAGGAATACATGGGCATTAATGACTACTAGCAAGTCTCACATGAAATGTGAAGGTGCTTCATTGAATTTGCCCTAATGTGGTTTCCATTGATAATGCTCAGGAATTAAAAGCATCATGTGATAAACAATAGGATGGTTTTTGCCAATAGCACTGAACAATTTCCATCCACATTGCATTATTGTCTTGCAGAACAACTTGATTTCATACACAGCATTTGAATTAATAGAAATATGTTTTATATAGTCAACGTCATAATTTAGTGCTAGAATGATTAATTTATGCAAAACTTTTAAATGACTGCCACAGCATGCAATGTTTTGTACTTATATTTATAAAGCATGTACTATTCTGTAGGTAGAGGGCTGTGATAGCTCAGACTGTAAAGTGCTAGCTTACGAATCCACTTATGAATTCCCAAAGTGTGTGTTATGACACACCCAACCCTTGGGGGCTTGTGTTTCTTAAGGAGTTTAGATATGGACTGGTCTGTGTTGGCATGGCTACGTATAGCCTTATTGCTTTGGATGGCATCAATAGCCACCAGACCCTTCCTCTTATTGGCCTTGGCTGGGTGATAAATCCTACCCACAAGTAACTATTTCACAAAACAAACAATTTTTTCTTAATGATTTGGGAGTTCTTGAAAATTTGTCTGAAGTCATGACATACATAATTCTTGCTCCAGGGGTCAGTGGATTTGTACACTGCTGCCATGCTAATGGAAAAATCTTAGGAAAGGAAGAAAATAATCTAAAAGTAAAGAAAAATGAAAAAGGAAATGCATTGTAAATACCAGAGAGGTCACAAACTTGATCTTTTGTTGTTTGTTTCTAGTCATAGAAAATATCTCATACATTTCATTTATATAGATCTATAAGCTTGTGAGTTAAATTATCCATGTTTAGATTATATTTTGTTTTTGTTTATCACATTTATGCAAATAAACTTACGATGCATCTCAACATTTGTTGTTTCTTGAACATGTTCAGATCAAGAAGATATTATTATACATCACATGAAATCATTACGGCAATTCTAAATTCTAAGTACCCCGGTAAATGAATAATGCTATGTATATATGTGTCCAACAGTTTTCAGATTCTGAGTGAAATCATGCTATTATTTTGTTAAATTTTTGTAAACAATATTTGATAATGAACTAAAAATTCAAAATTACTGCATAATGTAGATATGTTCTTAAGGTAGGAGGGGTGAGGAGGGTGGGAGGGGTGAGCCGGAAGGGGTGGACCCATTTGGGGAAATTTGGAGTGGAGAGTGGGGGGAACAGTGGGCTCATTTAGGGAATGAGGGGTGGGCCAGGAGGGCCCATTTAGGGAAATGTAAATTATCAACAGTCCTTCTTCCATACAACAATATTGTCAAAGTATGGGTTTGAAGCAATTTTTATGAAAAGTGAATCTGACCTCTGTTTGACCACAAGGGTGGGACCCAATAGCGGAATTATATCAGAAATTTTTTGTCATGTTTGAAATTCTTTAGTAAATAGTTGAATAGCTAAATTAACCAGGCAAGCGATTCAAGCCCCTTTGGCCTCTTGTTTCACAATTTTACTCGTTAGATTCTCCTTGAAGACATTTGTAGCCATACCTCGTCGAAAGCGATTGATTCCTTTGCCTGCAGAATTGGCCACCTTGCTCAGCTTTAGCACCTCACCTTGACTCAACTTTGATATAAGGGAAAGTCAGGCTTGTTTCATAATGTGTGCTGCTCCAGGACTTACGTGTCATTATAGGTCGTGAATAGAAGATATCTTTTACCTTTGGTATTTATTGGCTCCAGGTCATTTGACAAATCTGATGGTTTTATTAGCTCACCTGCCCAAAAGGCATATGTCCATACAAAGTAAACACATCTACATCATCACAGCATGGAGATTATTTAGATCCATATCATTTTGCTTTAACACTGTTTATACAAATTGTTAAATGCATGTCAAACTAGTTCTTCTAGCTGTCAATACTTCAACAGATTGTCAGTTGATTGGAATTTCTATAGAAAATATTGTACTTGTTTCATAACTTACAGATATCTTAAAAATCTTACCACTACTTCTTCTAAATGGGAAGTGGTATCGGAACAGAACTTCCACTGATGATTTGTGTTTGGTCCATGTATTGTCAAGAAAAAGATAAAACCTGTATTCAGGAGGGTCACCATTGACTGCATACCTGTCAACTTTCCAGTTACATCTGGAAATCACATCTAATATTTACATTTTTGTAGATCTCTATATAGCAAAAATGTATCAAGGCAGCACTTCTTATACCTAATGAGTTGTGAATAGTCAACATATATTTTTTACTGTAATTTGGACCTGCCACATTGGCCGCCATCTTGAAAATCTTGTCATCTCTTTACTTCTTCTAAACTGGAAAATGTAGCTTAAAACCTATTAGAAGAGGTACCAAGTAATTGCGTACCATCTT